GATGGTAAGGCCCCACCTGTTGGTGGCAAGCTCCAGGTTCAGCAGCAGCACCTCGAACTCCTCCTCCGAGTGAGCAGCCATTAGCAGATCATCGGCATACATAACGTGGTTGAGCAATAGGGAGCCATCCCTTGACCGCACCAGGGCATCGATCAGCCTCCCATTGCATCTGTAGCAGATGGGAATTCTTCCAGTACAGGCATTGAAGGCTCGACGAACTACGTGGTCCAATGTGGGAGCCAGAGGACATCCCTGTTGCACCCCAAGATGTAAAGGGAATGGCTCTGACTCACGGCCACGTAGTTAAGACGCGGGGCCGCTCACCATCATGAAGGTCATTAAGGATGGTGATGAGTGGGTTCAGGACTCGGAAAGCACGAAGAGCAACCCAGAGGCCAGGCCTACTGATGGTATCATAGGCCTTGAGCAGGTCAATAAAGCACACGCATGGACTAAGATGCACATATGGACCTACAGACACGCAAAGAAATGGAGTTACACTGACTAACATGGAGGCATGCACACATAGCGACTAACATACACGCACATGGACTGAGAAACACACACACACACATATGGACTGACACACACAAACACATCGACTTACAGACACACACACATATGGACTCACACACACATAGCCATGCACTTGAGATACGCACACATGGAGTTGCACACACATATATGGACGTGCACACATACAGCGACACACACACATACATAGAGTGACACACACATTGCCGTACACACACATACACATGTGGACTGTCACACAGACATCCACTTGAGATATACACACATGGAGTTGCACACACATATATGGACGTGCAAACATACAGCGACTCACACACACAGCAATACGTGGACTCAAACACACATTGACGTAAACACACATATGTACTTACACACACACATATGGACTAAGACACACACACATGAACTTACACATACATAGACTGACACACACATAGCCCTACACACACATATGGACTGTGACACACAGATATCTACTTTAGATACACAAACATGGATTAACACACATATGAACTCACACACAGACGCATTGGCTTACACACATACATCGAGTGACACACACATGTATAGACTTACACACACATGTGGACTGACACACACACATCGAAGTACACGCACACAGATCGACTGACACACACACATGGACTAACACACACACATAAACACTTTGATGTACACACACACATGGGGCGTTGTCCGTTCGAAAAAGACAGACACCCACATGGAGTTAAAGACACGCATGGCTGCACACGCATAAACGTATGGACTCAAAGACGCACACATGGACTAACACACATCGACGGGCACAGCAATCCCCGATGATGGCACAGCTATCAGTATCGCAGTACTACGTATGAGTAAATAACATGACGTGAGCGATGGAAACAATAGAAATGCATTGAAGAAATAAGCAGAAATCACAGGCTGGCAGTAGACCGTGGCAACGTCATAAAAGCGTAGCAAAAAAAGTGGAAATTGAGCAACCCAAAAAGAGTTTTGTGTACACAAACATAATTATTGTAATGTTTGTCAACTAATGTGTGTTAACAATAGTAAACAATAGACTTGAGTTGTTAGCGTAAGAAGCAAGGAACTTTGTACTTACCATAGGCATGTTGAGGCCTTGTGCCATGCGTAGCCCCCGTCCTGGCCTACATTGGCGAGGCGGCGGAGTTGGCACGTTGGCAGGCTAGGGACTGGGCCGCTACCCCCCCCCCCCCCCCGCAGCATCCCCCGGCCGTGCAAGAATAATGGTATGTAAGCAGTAAAATATATATTATCTACGTAGTCTGTACTATAAACTGGACGCATCGTGTTAGGGGGAGCGAAGAGGACATGACACTGTGAAGAAATATATTTGCAGCGTGATGTGTGTATGTGTTGGCTGTAAAACGCGTAAAAGAAAATGTCCCCCGTGAGCTCGAGTGAACGCGCAGCACTTGGCAGGGTCCGCCCCCCCCACGCAATTGTCGTCAGTTGGTACGGTCGATGTCGCGCAATAAGTAAATAATGAATAATAGAAACGGCACAAAAGTGTTAATTAAACTACTTTAAAGTTTACGGATGGGAAAACGGAATAGCCTATTCCCACCGCGGGGCTTAGGGCGTGCCGCCTGTCAAAAAAATTTCTCCATGAAGCCCACCGTCCGAGAGCCAAATCCCCCGCAAGCACGAGCACGCGGAGACTTTTTATATATAAGAAGAAGATTGACTGTTGCCGTGATGGATAAGTATCGTCAATGATAACGAAAAGGCATTCGCCCGCTATTGGCTCTCACGAGAACCGAATTGGACTTTGAATCGTTTTGGTGCTCGTGGCTTGAACACGGGTGGTGACATTCCATGCCCACGCCCGAGTTCATCACGAAGTGGCGCGTGCGAGGGTTACCTTGCAGACTGTACGCCGTGGGATTAAAACCGAATAATCATAAACATGATAGTGAAACGTGAACCCAAAAACATCAATGCTTGATCACAGCACCATCTCGCTTCATTGCATCTATTGATCCCGCTCCAGCTTTAACACAAATACAGACAAAACGACAAAGATCCCCCATATATCCTTAACAGACTGTGGGGGCAAGTGCTGTGAGCGAGCATCACCTATGAAGGCTGGAACGGCACACGAGAGAGTGGGTGGCCAGCACCAAGCCAGGCCGCTTTTGTCTCCCCAGTGGCGATGTTTACACATCGCGCCAGGTACTCACTTGAGGCTGAGTCGATCTAGGGGAGATCCAGGACCGATTCATATAATCGTCACTGGTGTTCGCCGTGAAGGGGAGGGGGGTTCAGGGGTGAGTGATGTGGGGGGGTGAAGGGGGGATTTAAAGGGGGGGGGGGGGATGAAGGGGTTGGTGACGTACGGTGCGAAAGAAGTTCAAATACATAGTGAAGGGGAGTGGAGGAGGGAGTTAAGTGGGAAGTGAAGTGATGGGGCGGTGAAGTGTGGGGGAGCGATGTGGGGAGTGAAGAGGGGAGGTGCAGTGGGGCGGAGGGGGGTTAGCGCCACTCACCACACCGAGCCCGGCCCTGCTGTGTCAGCGTCTGCCTCCGGCGCCAGCCGTTGCACTCGCCACAGCTTGAGCCCCGCGCCCCCCAAGCTATTGGTGGTTGGCGGCGGCGGCAGTGTTTTTCACTGGAGCCTTGTGCTCGAAGCCAGGCTGCGCGACCCCTAATGTTCGAGGGAATCTGACTGTGCCCGAGGAGAGCAATCCCACGCGGCTCCAATTAGCATGGGGGCGATCACGGCTTCACAGAAACTCGCGCTCAGATCCGCGCAAAGCACCCACAGAGTTAACCCGACGAGGACAGTGACGATGAGAGAGTGATGAGTGACGAGGGGTGACAGAGTGCGATAGGAAGCTCCCGCTCCAGGCTCCGAACACCGCGCGGGAGAGGCGGCTCTGAGCGGTTTCGAGCGCCACCCGGTGGCTGAGCTGCACACGCGCACCCGGGCACCCGGGCACCCGGGCACCCGGGCACCCGGGCACCCGGGCACCCGGGCACGGGCACCCGGGCACCCGGGCACGGGGACCTGGGCACGGGCACCCGGGCATCCGGGCACGGGGACCCGGGCACGGGCACCCGGGCACGGGCACCCGGGCACGGGGACCCGGGCACGGCCACCCGGGCACGGGGGGCACTTCACGGGGACAGTGACCGGAGAACCGCTGCCTTTTTGATATAAACTCCACCGTCTTTGCAAAGATAACCACATCGAGGAAATGCACGCTCCTCGTTGATGCTCAATTTGTACGCAATGTTCGCGGTGCTTAATTGGGCCATCGTCGTTCTTCCGCATCTACGTGTCCATGGGGGACGTAAATACCTTCTGCACCGCATCCCTCCCCCCACCCTCAATCGCACAAATGTCAGCAAAACCTACGTGCACAAATCGCCAACGGTGTGAAGCTTTCGATGACAATCGCTGTGGTGACCATAATGTGACTGCTTGTGAATTGCGATGCACCGCACCTCACGTGCTGCTCTGTGGAACTTGTCTACTCGAATTGTCCACCCCGCCCACTCCTCCTGCACCTACGTACGCCCTAAGCCACCACCAAGTGAGACTCCACACCCAGCACTGCCAGCAATGGGTGACGAGTGCTACTTACCGAGGGGTTCATTTGAGTCGACTTTTTCTGGGTAGGAGACCCGTAAAATAATTCCGCCCCTGCACGCCACATCCAGTATACCCCTCGCTATGGCTGTGGCGAGTCGTGTGCCACCTCCTGGTCAACCAGCAACAGCAAACATGTCTACCTCAATCCCAGGTATGTACTGATTACTGTACTGGTGACTGATTACCGATACTCCGTCACACATGAGCTCTGTGTTGCCGAGTTCTCAAATCATCTCAAGTTCCTCCAAACCCCCCCCCCCAAGCCCCCTCTGACCCTGGTCCCCCTCTATCATCCCCACACCGCCCCCCCCCCGAATCCAGTTATTGACCCTAGCCCCCCTGACTGATTCTATGCCCCCCTCTCTCTGACGCCGCTGTGGCTCACAGCCCACAGCCCCGTGGTCACGTGGTGCGCGTGGAGCTGTCCAGCGGCTTCAGCAGCCGCGCGAATCAACACAACGCGGGGGGGGGGGTGGGGGCATCAGCGGCAAATAACACGACACGAAATAGCCACAATAGCAAACAATAAAAGCACAAAATACTAGAGCAACGAGGTCTGATAAAACAGAGACAAATAATACATCACAATTAGAGCCACGCGCCTCGCAGAAACCCCCCCCCCGTTAGGGCCCCGGCGGCCATGGAGCCCCCAGCCGAGCCCCCTTGCCACAGCGCAGGGAAACGGCCTCGTCTGGGCGGGGGGTGGGGGGGGGGTACTCGGGGCCTACGGGGCCTACGGGGCAGCGGCAACAGCAGCGGCCTCCTCCCTCCTCCTCCTCCTCGCAGCAGCAGCACAGGAACATGGCGGCCGCGTCTCTCTGGTTGTCATCACTCCCTCCCTCACCTCAGCATTTGTTGCTCCTTCTCCTCCTCGTCTCGCTGTCGCGCAACCACGGCCATGATGATGTTGCGCTCCTCCTCCGTGAGATGGCTGAGGTCCGGGACCCCGGGAGGGCGTTGCGGCCCCGTGGGCCCAAGCGGAGGCTCCATATCCGCGCCGCCGCCGCCGCCTCTCAGGACGCGATCCCCGCGTGGCCCCGGGCGGCGCCGCAGTGGCGGCCCGGCCGAGACGCGGATTCCCCGGGACGGGAGGCCGGCCGCGCCATCGAGCAAAGCCGCCGAGAGCGGCCCTCTGGCAGACAGCGCCTCCACTGATACAGATCCAACACAGAGCTCCAAACAGCACACACAGCTCTCGCAGCCAAACAGCGCCTCCACCGACTCACACGCAGACCCCTCGCAGCTCACGCAGACCCCTCGCAGCTCTCGCAGCCAAACAGCGCCTCCACCGACTCACACGCAGCGCACACAGCAGCGCCCGCGCTCGTGCAAAGCAGGAAAAGCACAGCTCACACGGAATAAGAGCAGAGGCAAGGACCCATCGTATATAGCATTGCCCATGCTTTTGGGGGAAGTGCTGTTAATGCCAACACCACGCTCAGCCGCCTTTGTCTCCCTAGTGGCGATGGTCACACATCTCACCAGGTACTCACTTCAGGCTGAGCCGACCTAGCGAAGGTCTAGGACCGATTCAGAGCATCGTCACTGTGTTGGCCATGAGCGGGAATTGAACTTGGGTAGGCCGAGTTTGAAGTGCAGGGCGCTAACCATTGCGCCACCGCTCCCCACTAGCGAAACATCGCCTCTACTGACACACGCGCTGCGCAGTGCGCACAACAGCACAGCCCAGGCACACAGAACTCAGGCCCCGTTTAGGCCAACGTCCAATTTAATTCCTGTCGAGGAGGTTGTTCCCTCCACCGCTGGACGGAGCCATGGTCGCTTCACCGCTGGACAAAGCGGATACAACTCTGGTGGTGCAACTTAAGCAACGACTTCATTCTACAAAATACATGTATATGTATTTTGTATATGTATTTTGTAGTGTGCAGTTAGTTTTACCATTTCAAAAATATCTGACAGACTTTGTTTCACATTTATAGCTGCTCGTGAATTACTACGTAAGTTTATTAAACTATAGCAATGATCTAGGTCAAGAAAGCTGACGTAAAAAAACGTAAATTTCCAATCATGCCCCACTCCATCCTCCAAAACGTATGGGCCCAAATGTGTAATCGTTTTAAAAATTGAACTTAGGAATACCAAAGATAACAAGGTCAATGAAAATGATCAATTAAAATGCTATTTGAATTGACGAAAGGTATTGTAAATATTCAAGGTAACATAAACATAATCATCACTTTGTCAATGCACTGCTGTATAAAGGCCTCCCCACGCCATATCATTGATGGGACTTGTTTGACCATTCGCCACCACGCTGGTCAGCGCATAGGAGCGGTTCAGATATCACCACGGATGTCAGTGGCCTGGAATCGACAGGCGTGAGGTACATATCGAAATGCGCCGACCAATTTGCTACGGCTCATAAATTAATGATGCAATCAGGAACACGAGAGAAAGAAATGGTTGGAAAACAACAAAGAAAATAACATGACAAAAACATGCGATTTCATAATCCACCTAGCCCCAGCACAAGCTGATTTCATCACTCCATCTCCTCGGGTCATATCTTCCCTGACTGCCACGCCACGATTATTCTTCACCATCGACCATTATTCCTTGTAGCGACATGCCCTACCAAAGGCCGCTTTTCATACGTTTGAATTATGCCTTTCAACTGCGTACGCCCACCCATGTGTTCCTCTCTTTGTCTCTCATTGTAAATTAAACGAAGGCTGAAAAGTACGAATTTCTCCATGCTCCTTTGCATACCATATTCCTGGAGGCACTGGAGGCAGATATAATGGTATATGGTTTCAAAAGCATCAGAAATATCTAGAACTAGGAGCGTTATTTATCTACGGTCAATTTATCACACGCAGGAACAGTCTCAACAGATTGTGCTGGGTCAGGGAGACCATACAGAGCAAAGCGGTTTACAGAGATTGTAGTTCATTACCCTTTCTAGGGCTTTCCAATAAGAGGGAGGTTTGAGATAGGGTGCACATTTTTGTGATATTTGGTGTCCAATTTGGGTCCTTTTTCAGGATGGGAGGGACATCAGCAGCATCTTTTTCGATTTATAGCTTTCGTGACTGCAGGGATTCATCTTCATTTCAGACTGTCTTCTCGACAGACCTGTTCTCCACCTGAGGACGGCTTCTTGCGTTGTGGCCGAGACGTCGTGAGAATTATTTTATGTTTTATTTTTATTATTTCCATTCTACGTGACTTTACCGAAAGAACCAAGAAGATCAGCAGCATCATTGAGCTAAAGGAATGGTCTCAGATGAAACTGAGGCTGGCATCGAGTAATAAAGCCAGAGCAAGTGGATAGTGGCAGATTAAATTAGTGGGCAGAGGATATAGGATGGGAGAAAACCCCGAGGTAAAAAAATGTTGTTCATTGGGACAAGGTGAGGGGGGTGTCAATGTCAAGGGTAGGAAGTATGAAGACAGGACGGACAATTTTAAGAGCAGAGTCAGACACCAGGATGCCATTCATTATTTTCTGGACCTTTCTCGAGAAAGGCGAATTCGTCCGTCTCCACAAGTGTACCCGTGGCCTGTGAGCTGTTCCCCCTGCTGGGCTAGCACAGTACTGTGAGGGGATACCCCGAGCCGGGTGGTATCTCAACCCCCATCACCTCCGGAGATCAAGTCGGTCCTGCACAGTGGTGCAGTGTACAGAACCGTACATCACAACACATTCACGTTTAAAGCTCTGTACGTGCAGAATAAAGGTTTTGAGACGAAAAGCCATGCGCAGACAGCTTGAAGCTCAATATTTATTTCATAGACTCTAATAATGCTCTTTGTTGCTTCCCAGCCGCGTAACATTTTCTGAAGTGAAGCCCAGCGATGGGAAGACAACACGTGCAGGCTGTGGAGATGACGTGGACACGGGCCACAATACAACAACCTGTACAGCACAGCTAAGGCACAATCTGCACGCCGAACCACAGACTCCAATGGGGTCACCCTGGCCTTTGGCAAATATCGAAACCGAACAAGGCACCGAGTTCACACACTCTACAGGGCCCTACCCCTCGCCACATTAACTTGACACGGATGTACGTTCTTAGATAAAAAGGGGTTTACCTCCCACAGTGCTAATAAAATGGTCGCTAAATGCACCCAAGTACAAACTGGCGACGCACACACGTCGCAACACACAGTGGGGAGGGAGATCAGTGCTTCCACACACAGCCCATTCACACGAGCCGAGCTTATGAGATGCAAGACACCAACAGATCGTGCAGCATCAACTGCGGAACCTACTGGACAGCCGCACCTGCGTTACATAACGGACTTTGGAAGTCTGGAAAATGGGGCTGGTCACATAAAAACACTTGCTTAGATGTTTCCTTTAGTTTGGCAACGAAAGAGGTATGAGTGGAAAGAAAATAACATCAGATATTTTATGCAACCAGCCCCAGAAATTTATCAGGAATATGTTTAACTTCGTCGCCTCCAACCATCCTCGTATTGATAAAACCCACGACAGTAACAGCGTCGCCAGTGTTGAAATGCAAAACAGCGTCTTTAGTCTCAACGGCGTCCGAGCTGGCAATCGAGCTGGTGCACACACCCACCATTCTAACGTAAAGCTGCAAATAGCTCAAAGTTAATCGCTTTTAGATTTCAAGCAAGCCAGAAAGTGTTTAATCCATTGGAAACCTGTTCAGAAACGAAAATACGTAAAATACATTTTCCACTTAAGCTTCATGCACATGAGGCTATCAAACGTTAATACAACATACTACAGTGACAGGCATTTGCGATGGGTATTCATTTCAATGTGCATGCATTTGAAGAAAATAACCGTCTTATGTAGATCATATGGCAATTTCTGAAAGGTACTTTGAAAAGAAGCACGTGGCATATTCTGCACAGCAATATGGCAACTATACTGGTGCATGCACATCACGGTCTCATACTCTGCCGCCGTTTTGCGAGTGATGGCAGCCGCACGGCACAGAGAGCTCAGGTGAGTTGCGGCAAGGCACGGGTGGCTACAGGTTACCACTTGAATAGAGTTTACACGAGCCATGTCTCACGCTGATGCGAGGAGACCATTTGCCTGGACTCCCATCTGTTTGTCACCAAGCGTGCCCGGCGGCAGGAGTGAACGTGTGTGTGCATCTGTGGGGTGTTCTCACGGTGGCACTCGTTGATCCACACCGACTTTGGCACTTGCGATTTCCATGCAGGCATGTAAGGGGGCATATGCGCGTATACCGTACTCGTGTATGTTGGAACACGAGCGTAGGTGTGTCACGTTGAGCAAGTATTTGCGTACGTATGTGAATAAGCACGAGCTTTGTTTTTGTAGAGCCATGCACGCCTCACAGTGGGACTTTCTCTTCAGGGTCAGGCTTGGCACTGGCACTGGCCGTGGAGCTCAGAACTTCTTCGAAACTGCCGGATCGGCGCGTGGAAACACGGGTCTGTGCGCACGCAGCATACAGAGCAACGAGACAACAAGCCATGACATTGTTGTGCATCTCGTACTGACGGAGCAAAGAAATGCGACTCTCGTGAAACAATGTGCACGTGGCCATATGACGTGGGCTCACCTTCAAGCCGGTCACGGTGCTTCCCACTCGCTCCTCGAAAGATTTGAAAGTCGGAGAGTTCCTGGAGAGACCATGAACATTACCATCATACCGATATAAATTATCTTTTATATATCAATATATACACTGCTTCTAAGCACAGGCAGAGATCTAAAACGTTAAGTAAACGGCAACAAACAGCAAAGTCAACGTTGTAATAAAGTTAACATGTCTTTTAACTGAGTAAGGTAATACAAGAGATAATTTCTTTAAAACCGCTGTTTGTGTTTAATTTTACCCCTTGGCTTTCGCGACCAATATCATCCATATATTTTTTTGGGTTAGATCACTTAAATGTGTGTCGGTAAACCCGCCACTACCCGACATAGCCAATTAGTAAGGTTTTTCACGTAAACAGAACGTTCCAATTCATTACTAGTACAGCACACCGGTGTATTGGAGAGCAAATCCACATTTACAATTTGAGTACGACGTTTTGCCAGTAATTGCCACTAGCTTCATCAGGCGATAGCCAGATTTGTGGAGAAATCCTGTTTTGTTCCTTAGAGGGAGGCAGATGTGATGTCATCACTTGTGAGCCCTTCATGTGCGAAGAGGGGGGGTTAATACATTTATATAAATAACAATTATTAATATGGTAATCAACATATTATTTGGGTCTTTCGGTACAGCCACGTAGACAGATCAAATAATACAAAATAAAATAATAAAAATAATAACTATATCATGGTAATCAACGTCCATTATGCATGCACATTATGCTTGTACCTCCTGTTGTTTGCGTGCAATAAAATAGCAGTACCTGTTATTGTCTGCGTACAGCTGTAGTGTGAAATACAAAGGCGCGCACACACTATACTTGGAGGCAACACGTTTAATAAACAACCAACACTCCGAGTTCTATGGCTAGGTGTGGCTATCCTGTTCGCTGTGTGCGTGCGAGTTAACTGAACCAACGGGCCAGTCAGCACACACGCTGCCTGACCCACGATCCCCAGAGAAGACTTCACGGCGAACGAGGAGCGAAGAGCGACGACTTCTCAAGTTGATCCCCACAAACGAGCCCCGATCCCTCTCGGGGCTCCCCCTTTCTTGTCCCCGATCTGCCCTCGGCCACGCCCCCTGCTGCGGTATCAAGTCAGGAGCTCCCGGCTCCCGGCCACGTGTCCCTCAAGGCTCCTATGGAGGTTCCCGGCGCTTAGCGGCACTCCCGAATTAGTGGCTGGTGCTAACAGTGCAGTGACCTTATTTGTGTCACTACACAGGTAATCCCCGTTGATGTATGGTTTCCTGTATAGGCATGCATTTAAACAATGTATTATTTGATGATTCGCTTCCAAGCAGCACTAAGCCTGTAGCTATCCGAAGAAGGGCTCATAAATGATGGCATCACAATATGTCCCTCTAATTAAGGAACGAAACAGGATTTCTCCACAAAGCTGGCTGTCGCCTGATGAAGCTAGTTCTAATTACTAGCGAAACGTCGTACTCAGATTGTAAATGTTGTGGATTTCCTCTCCAACACACCAGTGCGCTGTACTAGTGTAAGGACAGTACGGGGCCTGGTGGCCGTGGTTAATAATAAGGATAGGATGGGACATTCAGACGCTGTCTCCCCGACAGACCTGGTCTTCACCTGAGGACAGCTGCTTGCGTTGTGGCCGAAACGTCGTGAGAATTATTTAATTATGTTTTATTTTTATTATTTTATTATTTATTACTTCCCTTCTACGTGACTTTACCGAAAGAACCAAGAAGATGAGTCGCTGCAGTCACGAAAGCTTTAAATCAAAAAATGGGACCTAAGTAGTCGTAATTTATAATTGAGACAAGGACAGACAGGGCCAGATGAGGTGAGAGAGAGTTCGGGAAAAGGGGCGTGGCCAGGTCCGAGAGGGAGGATAAAAACCGGCGTGGAGCGGGGCTCTGGGCTGCTGTGGGGGAATCAAGAAACCGTCATCGCCATCGTCATCTTGGAGCGGGTCATTTTCATCATCTCGGATCTTATAGTCCTGGAAGGCTAAAGTTACATATTGTCTCCGTGACTGCTACGTGTCCACTCCTATGTAGTCAACCAACTACATGCGGAGCGTAGCGTAGAGTCACAGAAGTTACCCAGCTGGAAAAGTCAACTCGCGGTTATCCGTTAAAATATCAGTAAGTCGGCGGACTTTATTCATAAATATATATATAACTGAACAAGATGGTGTCTCTGAGAGCTTCATTACACTAGTAACGAATTGGCATGTTTTATTTACGTAACAAACCTTACTAATTGGCTGTGTAGGATGGTTGGGGGTTTAACGGCACATTTATATTTACACGATCTAACCCAAAAAACCTATATTATCTTTGTGTTCAGTTTGATGTCCTTCCCCGCACCTCCGATGAGTATACGTGGCTATATACGGTGCAAAATAAGTTCAACATACTTACATGCAGCTCGGAACAACAGATGATGGGAGGGAATTAAAAGTTGGGCAGTGTGAGGGAAGGAACAAAAAGACAAGTCTTGTGACCTACATACATGGTGTGTGGTGGATGAGACAGAGGAACAGCAAACATGGTCGTAAAGATAGAATGATAAGGAGGCACCTAACTGTAGAGAATCGGTAAGTGCTGGATCATCACTCTTGACTGCTTTACGCTCAGATTCGATCAAACATAGTCAAGTAGGAACTGGGTGTTGCACCCCAGATATGACAACATCATTCCAACTTTGGCAGAATTAAGATAATAATATGCAGTTCAAATGCTACTCTGGCCAATAAATATTGTGAGCACAAGGTACAGTTAATCACTGATGAGAACACAATGCTGCAGCACCTTGGTAATATTGCACCAAAGGGACAGCAGCCTGCACACACAGGGTGTTGATGGAGCGACTGCTGGACCAGGCCACCTGATTCACAGCTCGTGATCACTTTTCGCTGTTGAAAAAGCTTGTGTCACAAATCATGGTGCCCTGCAATTTTTGCCACTAATAATTACTTAACGATTGTTAATTACAGGAAATATTGAAATAGTTTATTATTACTCTGCTGTGCTGGTTATAATAGTGTATATGTAACTTAGTTCGCACTGTACATAGTCAACCGTGCTCAACGGAGGTGCAGTGTAAAGTTGAAAGGAACTTGGACTTCTTGCTCAAAACAGCATGGAGGCAGTGCACATCTGTTTACAGCCTCCAGTGATGGAAACTCCATATTCCTATGACAGGGGTGAGCCTATCCATAGGACTACTGATGACACTTTTTTATTGGCCACACAGGGATAATGGGCTGAGTAAACACCCCCCAATCAGGAATTGGCTTCGTAACCTTCCGATTGCGAGCCGCTCGCTCTACCACTGGGCCACCTGGCCCGTAATGCACACGCATGCAGCTCCTATCATCATTCTTCTTATTACTACTACTACTACCACTGCACTCAAATTAATTCAGTTCCATTCTGATAAAGAATTGCACAAACACTTAGAGATGACATCTCGGAAAACGGACCCTGCAGTGAACTCCAGAACATGGATGCCATGACAGCCGCTTGATGTAACGGTGTAAAGTTTATTGGAGTGATGCTATATTTTTTATATCGCGCCAACCGTGAAAAGCGCATTTCCACAACACTTAGGATTTATAACGTGCTGTTTGCACATGGAGGTGCAGGGACACCAGACAAGCGGGAAGGCCATCGGAACCGGCACCAATAATTGTCCAGGCTCTGTGGTTGTTCTACATTGGGATGTTTGGCCAACTCCATAAATGAGCGTTTATGAGTTGAAAGGAACGAATCGCTCACTTGACGTCGCCCAACGTGCGGCTCAGCACCGAGCCCACGGAAGAGATGGCTGCCGTCGTCTTCTGGCCAGCGTGCACCAGCGTCTCCGAGGTTTTCTTGTAACTGCATGGAAGGCACGAGCGTACGAGGGATGGCCACAGTCTAACACATCAGCCGACGTGTTTCTCTTGTAAAGGCAGGTGTTAATGAGTCATGATGGTGGAGTTGTAGTCACGATTTTGCCTTGCAGCAAGAAGTCCCTGGGACCGCTTTCCTAACTCAGGCAACTTTCTGCGTGAAATTTGTATGTTCTTGCCTGTTGTGCACCAGTTTCTTCCAGCTCCTCCGGTTTACTCCCATAGCGAAACACAAACAATGTAACTGGAATTGGCCACAGATCCCAATGCTGAAAATGACTTGCAAATTACTTAATTGGGATTGCACACAGCAGTAACATTTCCCCCAACTGCGACAACTTGACAGGACCCTCCTAAAAAAGTGTTCAGACTCTGAGGCTCAGAGAAACGAGCATCACAATGATAATTATTAATGAACATTTTCAATTTAACCCTAATTAGATCGCACTAAAACTATCAGATAGCATGGACTGCAAAGTTCATGTAGCGCATACAAAAAGTTTTTCATCCAGAAAAGCACAATACACACCCACTATCTAGTGCCAATCCACGAGTGAATGCACAGCTGATATAGTACAGTCACGCACACGCAGGACCACACAGACCCCAAAAACCTCAGCCTGTATCCTGTGCGACAGCATCCAAAGTAATAAGCACATACGCAGATGAAGATGTCACGTCTTGCCACCCCTTGCTCAGGTTTGCCTTCAGTTCCGTGATGGTTCCGATCCCCAGCTTTTGCTTGATCTCAGCCAGGTGATGCTCCTTCGCTGCAAGAACCTGCTTCAATGTGGCTATCTCCTCCTCCACCTGTACACGTGCACACACACAGCACGAGCTCGCACCCCTATAAAGCACAAAGTATTCCTTTCCATTTTGACTTAAAACTTTCGTGACTGCAGGAATTCATATTCTTCGGTTCTTTCTGTAAAGTCACATAGATAGAAAAATAATAATAAAAATGAAGTGAATAAAAAATATATATAATAAATAATAAAATAAACCCACTAATGTAGACTGTAGCCTGGTTCTTAATCTGAGTGAGTGCACTGCAGTCGATAATGTAGACTGTAGCCTGGTTTCTAACCTCGGTGAGTGTACTGGCAGTCTATAATGTAGACTGTAGCCTGCTTTTTAAGCTTGGTGAGCATATTGACAGTCTATAATGTAGACTGGAGCAATGGTGATTAAACTGAGTGAACGTACTGGCAGTTTATAATGTAGACTGTAGCCTGCTTCTTAACCTGAGGGAGCATACTGGCAGTCTATAATGTACACTTATTCGTTGGTTCTTTCGGTAAAATAATACAAAATAAATAAAGTTAGAAAAATAAAAAACCACGACGTTTCAGGAGGAAAGAGGGGGAAGGTCACCGAAGGCAACCGTTTTTAAAGGTTTCAAAAAAGTGGGCGTGGCACCGGTGGAAGCATGGAACACGCAGTGCCAACAAAATGTCCTGGTGTCAGAACGAAGTGGGCGGGGCATAGGTGCCCTGGGGTAAGGTAACAAGAAAACACAAATCAAGTCATGACCCTAAGTGGTTGATGACATCTTTCCAATGATAGCCGAGTTTGTACCCATCTTCTCGGTTGAAATTGTGTCTGTATATATTATAGACTGCCAGTACACTACCCGAAGTTAAGAACCAGGCTACAGTCTACATTATAGACTGCCAGTACGCTCACCGAGGTTAAGAACCAGGCTACAGTCTACATTATCGACTGCCAGTACACTCACCCAACTTAATAACCATTGCTACAGTCTACATTACAGACTGCCAATACACTCACCAAACTTAATAACCAGGTTACAGTCTACATTATAGACTGCCAGTACACTCACTCAGATTAAGAACCAGGCTGCAGTCTACATTAGTGGGTTTCTTTCTATATATATAAAAAAATTATTCACTTCATTTTTATTATAATTTTTCTATCTACATGACTTGACCGAAAGAACCAAAGAATATGTATTCATTTCCATGAGTGTCTTTTCGTTACCTGACAAACTGTGAGCACCGTCATTGGCAAACACACTTCACATTTTTTTATACAGCTAATAAAACATTCTGTGACTATGAGTGAACCATGAAAACGAGTCTTACGAGGACGTCGTCTCTGCACGAATAAAAACAACAAAACAGAGCAAGCTGCCGGGCCAGTGTGCGTGCACGTACCTTGGCCAGCTCTTCACGCAGCTCTTCCGTTTCCACATCTGACAGAGCCGAGCTGCTGAGGGTTGGGTCTTCCCTGGCTATGCCAGCCCCGACTTGCCCCGTCGTGCCACTCGGGAAGTCTGCATTGGGTTGGTCACTGCTCAGAAAACCTGTACACATCAAATGGCAATCTACTGCAAAGGCACAATAGTATCTTGTTTGCATGAACCTATGTGGATGGTTCCAAGTAGATGTCTTATTAACAATAAGACAACTCGAGAGTCCAAGAGTGACCCGTGTCACCAAAATGACGAAAGGAATAAAATGAAACAAAGTACAGCAATGAGGTAAATAGAAATCGGAAAGTCATCCAAATAGAAGTCAGAGCAAGGAACTACTAAATAGGAATCAGCTTAAAAATAACTGCATGATAGAAACAAAATCACGTAGTGCACAAACATAAATTTATATTACATTCACACATTCACATTTCCATAAATTAATATTACATTCACAGATTCACAAAATATGGCCTGGACAATTTGCTTTTCATCTGTAGCCGAATCGAGGTCCATCGCTGCTGACATGCAGCAGCGACGTGGCGCTGCTGCTGCCCGGCCGGCCGGCCGAGGGAGCAATGGGAGCAGCGTTACCCTGGGAGAGAGCCGGGGACCCCGAGTCCCCATCAGTGGGGGCCAAATGCAGGTACTTGAGGCTCACGCCTGCACTGAAGTCAAATGGGGAGCGGTAATCCTCTGCACTGTCCTCGGCCTCCTCACCCAGACGACTGCTCTCGCCTATCTTGCCACTCATGTCCTCAAACACCCGCCGACACCTTCGTGAAATCTGACAGCCACGGTGATTAATCCAGATGCGTAAGGAGGTGGGTACTTAGAAAACGGCACCGATGACAATGACTGATGGCGACTCAAGACCACAGATTAGCAATTCTTATTTAATGGGCGCTCGTTCTGGGAAGCTCCCAACGTGACACGGCTGAGGACTAATCTCCGCGAAGCAACGTGTGATCATCGCGCCGGAGGGATTAAGGGTGTGCTTCACGAGCCGGAGTGTGCCACGTCTCAAAGGTCACTCGTCACAGGGGAGGAAATCAATTAACTCCACCTATACAGCCACCATCCAATGTTGACACAGCACCCACAAGGCACCACGGGTACATTGCGTGGACATGATCTGTCCATGAGTGCGTACCACAGGCCTCCCAAGGATAGCGTGCACGTAACCTCTCACTGTGCGATACCTCCAGGGCATAAGAATCACTTAGAATACAAATCACGACAGTTATACAACATGTCATTGGCACGTCAAGCCTGCAGGGCATGACACTAAACAAGCATTGTATTACATGGTCATCAGCATACAGCTCACACAAGCAGAAGTCGGTGAACCACACTGAATCCACATCATTAACTGGGACGCTGAAATGGATTTCAGTGACGTGAGATGAAGGCGCTATCGTGGTGAGGATAGAGGGTTGGTCAGCGAGGTGAGATGGGTCAGATACAATATCGGATCGGATCTGATGAGGTGGGAATGGGAGGAGTGAGATTCAAGTGGGAGTGATACAGTGGGAGATGAGATGGCAGTGAGATGAGGCGGGTGGGAAGAATTGCGTGGTACGAGTGATGAGGTGGGAGTTGGATGCAGGCGAGGTAAAGCGTGAGGTGGGTGTTTTTATGTGGAAGTGTGAGTTGGGAAAAGATTTACGATCCGGTGTGAGTGGCAAGAGGCGCTTGGGGTTAATTACGGGGCCGGGTGTTATGAGATGGGGGAGAGGAGGTAGGGGAGGTGAATCACGAAGTGGTAGTGAGACGTGGTGGACGAAACTGAGCGAGTCGTGGGTGATAGGGTTGGAGTGCGATGAGATGGGCCAGATGAATGACGGGGTGGCGGCATTGATGAGGTGGCGGTGGTGGTGGTGATCCATGCGGGAATTGCCCGTCGCCCGTTCAAACTCGTGCCGGCAGCAGCAGCGGCAGCAGCAGCTGTGACTCGGGACGCGGTCGCCGACGAGGCGACCCCCGCGGGCGGCGGCACGGGGCCCTGTGCTCTGCGCCTGGCCCGGCCGGGAGCCTAAGAATCCTCAATTTTACAAAGTTCAGAGAGCAGCCGAACAGCAGCAACCACCGTGGGCGGCCCTTGTGGGAAGGGGTTTTAGTGCAAAGACGGCGGCGGCAACGAGGGTTCAGGCAGCAGCAGCGGCGGCGGCGGCGCAGGCCGAGGAGGAGGAGGAGTCGGAGTCGTGGCCGCCGCCGCTGCTGCCGCGGCGGCGGCGTCTCTCACCGTCCCCGGACGAGGCCATGGCGCGGGCGTCCGCAGGAGTCGTCAGATCGCTCCCGGCTCGGTCCAGGAGAGGAGGCCTCCTCCTGCACAGCGGGACAGAGTTCAGCTCACACCTCCTCCTGCTAATACCTCTGCAGTCCCCGCCGTGTGCGATTCGTAAGTTGAAGCCTGCCCCCCCCTCCCTCCCTCCCCGTCCGTAGTGCGGGCGGGAGGTTGAGAGTTTGAGAGTTGAGCTCCGGACTTGCTCGAGGGTTGGAGTCGAGAGGCAGTTCTGCTGGACCTCAGGCTCGGACTAGAACACGCATCTCCTAGAACCAGGGTCAGAGTTTAAGCCCAGACATAAGGTGGGAGTCTAACCCAGCTGTCATTGAGCAGTTTAACAGTCTGCTGTTTGCCGGAGCCCAGCGAGAGTCTATCCCAAGCCCGCCGTAGCCCGGGGTGGGAGCCGAACCCGGGTTTTGTTGGAGGTCTCGCGGCTCCACGCGGCGAAGTCGCAGCAGCAGCTCCACGCACACGGAACTGGGGGCCGCGCCCCGTGACGCGGGCGCCGCGGGGCGCCACGCCACGTGGTGTGTGTACACGCCGCACCACGTGGTGTGTGCACACGCCGCACCACGTGGTGTGTGTGTGTACACGCCGCACCACGTGGTGTGTGTGTACACGCCGCACCACGTGTGTGTGTACACGCCGCACCACGTGGTGTGTGTGTGTACACGCCGCACCACGTGGTGCGGTGTGTACACGCCGCACCACGCCACGTGTGTGTGTACACGCCGCACCACGTGGTGTGTACACGCCACGTGTGTGTGTGTACACGTCGCACCACGCCACGTGTGTACACGCCCGCACCACGTGTATGTGTGTGTACACGCCGCACCACGTGATGTGGCGTGTACACGCGTGTTTCTGTTTACACGTGTCTATATACGCGACATGATACAGCCGTTCGACTCTGAAGTCACGCATTTCAGAGTAAATTAACTCTGAACACACCGCAGCCAATGTCGATGCCATTGTTTTTTAAAACAAAACCTCAAACGGTAACAGTTGTGGACCACCACCAACTGGTCCAGGCACCAAAGGCTGTAACTACTTACTGGTCTTTGCAATCCGTGACTGTATTGTCATTTCATTAAAAAAATCTAATGTGAAGGTGGCTTAGTTGTAGCGCGTCCCTCATAGCAAGGAGGGTCTCTTCTTCTGGGTTCTATTCATCCCCCTGCTCTGCACGGTTTCCTCCAGAGGCTCGATGGCAGAAAATGCGCAACCCCACCAGGCAGGAGATTCGCGTGTTTTATTATGTGGGTGACTGCACTTATTATTTGTGCGAGTGCATTCGTGCAATTGCTACAATGTTACTTTGCGTGTGAACGTCACGAGCGTGGGGTTTTGTGCTTAGAACCAGTGCGTCTTGCCGGCCTTAATACGAGTGCCGTGTATGTGTAGGGAAAGTATATAGTGTGGCTGTGTGCTGGCTGTGTGTGTATTTGAGTGTGTGGTTTATGTAAGAGCGTGCCGTGTGTGGACGTAATGTCAGACTTGAGGGTGGTTCCGTTTTTAGAATAAACACGATTTCTCTCGTGGGATCGAGGTTAGGACAAATCAGGCTATGAAAATCCTAGAATTGCATAATTCAGTTCGATACTCAGGCCCCAGGTTCTTGGGTTTTCTACCGTAGCTAAAATAAACATACAATGTAAATTATATTAGATTCGAAGCTTTCGTTACCTGGTGATGGTGCTTGTGTTGCAATCGAAACGTCGTATTCTATTCTATTATTTAATTTAATTTATTTCTACGTGACTTTACCGAAAGAACCAAAGAGTAAATGATATTGACAAAATATTCCAATGTTGAAAAATTAACATCAACCACAACTGCACGAACTTGACAGGACCCCCTGAAGGTGTCTTTAGACTCCATTGGGCTTCCCTGGGTAAACAAACGTGATAACAAATAAAGATGTCCTGTTATGACCGCATCGTTTAATTCAAACCAAAGCCAAACAAGTTTACGTTGTCATGGGACCTCCTTTGCCAGTACCAAAATATGATTATAGGTTTTTCCACTTTTTTCAAAGCATATATTATCAGAATGTTTTTGTTTGCATTCTGACCACAATCAGTGGTTAATGCAGACACAATTCCTTGTAAAAAGGTTTCAGTTTGCTGTTTTAACATCTTAACACCTGTTTTGTTACCAGAAAAAAAGGGGAAACCCTATTATCAAGTTCACGTTGCTGCTCAAATAACCCGGAGGCAGAAAGTAGCTCACGTGGAGTCACCACAAGCTGAGGGCACCTGTCCAACACGTCGGCGGCTTTCACGAGACCAATATCATCCAGCGGTTTTCTTGGGTTAGATCGCGTAAATATATAGATGTGTCGTTAAAACCTGACACCACCCGACACAGCTAACTTGGAAGGTTTGTCACGTGCCAATCCGTCACGAGTACAGCACACCGGTGTGTTGGAGAGCCAAGCCACAAGATTTACAATCTGAGCACGACGTTTCGCCAGTAATTACAACTAGCTTCATCAGGCGACGGCCAGATTTGTGGAGAAGTCTTACTGTTTACCGAAAGAAAACACATACTGACGCCTATCTGAATGCAGTCACACCATCACCCCGCACAGAAATCTGCTCTTATCAAGACGCTCATTCATCGAGCTAAGAAAGTGTCAGATGGTAAAAATCTGAGAAATGAAATTCAACATGTTAAAGAAGCGCTGCAAATGAACGGTTACAATGATGCACAAATCAACAGGGCATTGAATACCAAAACCAAATCAAATAACAAGACCATTGAAACTGCACAAGTAATTAAAATGATCAAAATACTGTACATTATGGGAGTAACTGATAAACTACCCAGATGTTTGGAAAAACAAAACATCCGAGTCAGATTTGGCAGGGTAGATAAAATACAGAATTTAATATCTGGTACAAAAGATGTATTACCGAAGCTATCAACAGGTGTGTACAGGATTAACTGCACGTGTGGTAAATGTGATGTTGGGCAAACAGGACGAATGATCAGCACGAGACTAAAAGATCAGAGAAATATTAAACTATCCCAAATACAACTGTTAGCAGCAACAGAACACGTGCGCCAACAAGGACACTCAATTGATGTTGATAATGTTGAAGTATTGTGCAAAACCAGCTACTACTGGCCAAGATTAATTAGAGAATCTATCGAAATTGAAAAATCAAAATAACTTTAACCGTTCGGATAGCTACCGTCTTAGCGCTGCGTGGAAGCGAATCATCATATAATACATTATTTAAATGAATGCCTACAAAGGGCAGCGTATTTCAATAGGGATTACCGTTGGTAGGGCTATTTTAATCAACACAATAGACAGGAAGGACTACTTCAAAGGGTTCGCAAAAATGCACATGCATAATGTACGTTGCCTAAGGAATCCCCCCCCCCCCCACATTGTGCAAGAGCGTAGAAGGGTGGTCAACACATCCATGCCTCTATATAAGGAACGAAACAGTAAGACTTCTCCACAAATCTGGCTGTCGCTTGATGAAGCTAGTTGTAATTACTGGCAAAACGTCATACTCAGTTTGTAAATGTTGTGGCTTGGCTCTCCAACACACCCGTGGTGCTGTACTCGTGACGAATTGGCACGTTGTTTACGTGACAACCCTTACTAGTTGGCTGTGTCGGGTGGTGGCGGTTTTAATGACACATTTATATATTTACGCGATCTAACCCAAAACAACCTCTATTATGGCTGAAGGCACCTGCAGTCTCGGGTAGATCTTGCAGCATTTTATTTGAAATGTTTCCGTTCCAATGGAGCCGATTGGACAGTGTGCCGCGTGTCTTGTTCTCCGAGGCATGTACATCCCACGACCAAGGGACTCTGTTGACTCTGTGTTGCACCAAGAGCAGCAACCTCCCACAACATTGTGCCAATGTTCCTGACGTAGCACGGCCTGACCAAGAGTGACGCCACCGGGCACAGGAAGGAGGCAAGCAGGGCCCGTGCGTTCCTGAGTGTCGCTTGGTTGCCTTGCACTTCTGGGACTTGCAACTCGGTCCCTAATGAAACCCAGTCACTTGGCTCCACATCCACCCTCTCTGGCTCAACAAATGTTGGTGCCCATAAAACAAGTGGGCACCCTTTATAAGGGTGTAGTCCCCCGTTTTAGAAAATTACTGGATGTGAAGTGTTAAGATGCTATAAAACGTTATCAAACTCACGTTGAAGGGTGCAAAGGGTTAACATCAAGTGTCCGATTCAGCATTATATGCAAAGAAAGTGCTACACTGAGTTGATCAAGTGATTATTCTGCAAAAATAAACATGTCACATTGATTCTACTAAAGGCATAAAAAACATCAATTTCCTTGAGGCTCACACATTCTGCCAGAATGTCCTCTGATGTTCACCAAGTGTCCTGCAAAATTTCCATATAAATTACCAACACATACAATAGTGTGGGAGGACTTGCATAGACTACAATGTTTCCATCTAACGCAGTCATTTAATGATGCAGAGGTCATGGCCCCTGTTCTTTTTGGTTGTTTGACCTCTTGCAAACGAATCCCAAGCATTCTCCAACACCCTTGCTCTCAAGCTTCCTGCGCAGAATTTTCAGGCAACACAATGCTGTCCTATTAGTCTCCATTCCTGTTGTGCATGCTGCACAGATCGCTGTAGGAGTGGCGGGCAGGACTTGAGAGTGGCAAATCATTGTTGTAAGCTGGTTCCTCCTTAATCGGGCGAATGAGTCGAGCACCTGAGCCAAAGCGTCCACCGCCAGCAAATGTGAAGTGCATGGGTGGCACGGCGCTCAGCCCAGGGCTCCCCTGGTCCCCCAAAGAGTCTGCGCTCAGCTGTTCCACCACCTGCACACACGGGAGAAACAAAGTTGTACACAAGCTGCGTAGCACCAATGATTCATTAATATCATTTATGATTTTTCAATTGCATAGTGCACACATTATACACATATAATTCACAAGTGTATGTCTGTCATGCTCTGGAGCTCCCAAACGGTACAGGGATGAAGGAAAAGATGAATAAAATGTAATTCTCTTGCAAAGGACATTCCTAGGAAATTGTGTAAAAGGTTTGAAAAGTAACATAACGTTGTTTTATTGTTGTAAATTAATGCACGAAAACGGGCAGAAACGCTTTTTTAAACGGCAATGGTTGCGTACACCCACACCCAACCCTTGTGCTCATGATCAGTTGGTACGGTTCAGATTTTTTCACGTGGTATTGATGCTTTTAACCTTAAGATTATTGCTGTTGTATTGTTGTTGATATATTATTGTTATGAACAATAATCTAATTATACTCTTTGGTTCTTTCGGTAAAGTCACGTAGGTAGAAATAAAATAAAACAAATCACGACATTTCGATCGCAACACAAGCAATCTTCATCAGGTGGAACAACCACAGCAAGAAAATGCTGAAGTAGGCGAGAGAGCTGCCGTGGCAAGAGGTTATATAGGTAAGAGAGGGGGGAGGCAAGGGGGGAGAAAAGGGTGGGGGAAGCTGAGTGTGGGATTTGGGGGGGGGGGGAAATATATAGTGAAACCTTCGATTACGAGCATAATTAGGAACAAAACAGTAAGACTTCTCCACAAATCTGGCTGTCGCCTGATGAAGCTAGTTGTAATTACTGGCAAAACGTCGTACTCAGATTGTAAATGTTGTGGCTTGGCTCTCCAACACAACGGTTAGTGCTGTACTAGTGACGAATTGTCCACGTTCTGTTTACGTGACAACCCTTACTAGTTGGCTGTGTCGGGTGGTGGCGGTTTAACGACACATTTATATACTTACGCGATCTAACCCAAAAAAAACTCTCTTATGGAAGTTATTATATGGTTGTTAAAATTGTTGATATGTTATTACTGTTGATGTTGATTGAAAGTTGGCCAGTGAGTACCACCAGGAAGTGAATTGCAGGAAATCCGTATCGCATCCAATAACTGAAGTTGTATCGCTTGCATATGCGTGGGCAGTGCTACTGCATGAACAATTGTGCTTTGCGTCGTGTAGCGAGTGACAGGAGATATTTTTGTTATTAGACTTGTCGGTCCATTGATGTCATACACATACCCACTTGAATTTGTATGGTGATCCATAGACCAGTTCTGTTGACTGAATACACAATTACTGCCACTGTCACAAGGCTTGCATATAGATCTGTCAGGGCAGACAATTACTTTTGTAATTGTTTTCATTTAATTACTTTACTTTTGCAATTACTTTTGTAATTGTCTTGACATCTGTGAAAAAGAGCTTCAAAACTCATTGGATTCCTCCAGTCCAATTACAGATTCGGATTATTTTCTTCATGGTCATCCTAAACACAAATCCCTTAGCCTGAAAATAATCCCTGATACTAATCCTCAATGGACTCTGTTGCCTTCTATTCACAGCCTTGATGATGTCCACAACTGCTTTGGGGCCTATGGACCCCAGTTGAAAGAATTTGGTCGAAGAGCCATACCTGACCAGGTCTGGGCCAATGTTCACCAGCCGAGAATTCATTATCGAGATTACGGTCCTGCAAACCAGACAGTGTGAGAAACACGATGCAGACCACACACACACAAACAATCTCGAATGACAAGTACACTTTTACCATGGATACTGCCATGAGTTACCACGACTAGCACCATTGTCACAGGCCGGAGCTTGTTAAGTGGCCATCCGAGACAATAAAATGTGAGATCTGATCATCAGTGGCCACCTCTGGCACATGGATTCATGTGAAGTGGCAGTCGCCTATTTGTATGACAAAGCCAAGCAGGACCATTTATATCCTGCAAAGTTTGGCTGAGTAATGACTTTTCAGCCTTTCACTTTATATATCCAAGCAGAACTTATCACGCCAATAATTTAGAGCAGTATTGTTGCTCTGGCTCAAAGCCAATATCTACTCAAGCTCGCTCTAGGCATGGCCCCTAAGCCATGCTCAGGGTTTCCATAATCTGAGCCTCATCCAAGCCACGGTTGAACCACTCGTACGTCTTTGAAAACAACAACAGTGCAACTCAACCCCGAGCTGAGCCACGATTAAGATACAGCCCCAAGGCTCCGACTTGAGAGTAAACGATGCCGTGCATGGGACTTGTACTCTGGTCGTGAGTGCGGTGAGAGGTGAAGGAGATGTTCCTACCACGCAGTGCACCAGGAGGCTGAGTGGAACCCACAGCAGAACCGAGAAGATGAGCACAGAGCCCACCACATTGTCAGCCAGGAACCGGCCTGCACCACAGAAGGAGGCTCATTCAGACCTATCCTCTACAACCATTCATGTTCGAGATTTTATTTTCTGGGAGACATGGCTTGGTGTCCGCATTTACTATATAGTATCACTTCAATCGTGATAGCAGCCAAAAAAATAGAGATATGACTGTGTCCCATTCCCATAGTAAACAATAAGATTCACAGACATTAGATATTTGAAATTTTACCTGAAAAACCTGAAAAATAGATTTACTACCTCTAACTGAAAACCACAAAACCCACAAAATTAATCGTAAATATGCAAATAAAACTGGAAAATATAAACTGTAAACACACAACTGACATACAACATGAACACCGAGGGAAGACAGAAGCAATAATGTAATCAGTGGCGCGAGTGTAAATGTCCCTCAGGAACCTGGATTTGGAGCACACGGCATGGTGGCTCGGTAGCACAGCGACCGGCTCGTAACGAGGTTGGGGTGCCGCGGTGGCACGATGTTAATTACCTCGCCTGGTATGCAAGAGGCCGTGGGTTCAATCCCAGCCCTGACGCCAGTCTATTTGGAGTTTGCACGTCATCCCCGTGGATTTTTCTCCGGGTCCTCTGATTTTTCCCTCCACATTTAGGATCAAAATGCATTTAGAGTATTTGGTTGTAAAAATTTCCACGTAAGAAGCCACTTTGTTGTGGCCTGGTGGCTTTTGAAAAAGAGCTATATAGCTCAGTGGCCCTTGCCTGGTAAAATAAAAAATAGTAATAGTAGTAATAGTACAAATCCTGGTTGGGAATTGACTCAACTCATCATCCCTGTGGGGTCAATAAAATGAATACTACTACGAGGAAGTCAACGGTGATTGCCATATCGACTCAGCCCAGCCATAGGGATGCAGAATTTCCATCACTATGTCAGGACTGTAAACATGCGATGAGCACCAGTGCCTTCAATATTAATTTGAGCCGGAACTCTCTTCGTGCTGGGACCCGCACATGGGAGACTCACTGAGCTCGTTGACGTTGAGCTTCTCTATGAAGTCCCACGTGCGCTCCAAGAAGTCCTGCACCTGCTTGATGCACTGTCCCTGTGAAGACGCGAGAGGAGCTTTTTGAACCTTGCCGCACGAGCAGCCCATCCTGGCCTGAACCTCACAAACTGTGGGTTGCAACCCCCAGAAAAAACGTAAAAAAAACTCACACTTCAATATGAACAGTAAATTTAAAAGATTGTGGTAAATGCGTCTCCAACTTGTTAACACCTTTGTGAAGGCATCAGGATAGTTACACATCGCTTGGGGAATGCTGGCCTAGATATAGTTTCCCTGTGAATTGTTTGATCCAAGAGGAGTGTGCATGCCCACAAGGGAGCTATACACGCTACTCTGCCTGCATGTCAACTCCATGGGTTATTCAGACGCTCAACCTGTGTAGTTTACATCATATGGAGGCAGCTTTAGGGCTGTATCATTAGTTACAGCCCGGATCTGGATTGGCCTAAAAAATGGCTCAGCTCAGGCTTCGAGCCACTTGGTTGTTTCCAAGGAAGCACGAGCGGCTCAGCCGTGGCTTGGCTCGGGCTCGGCTCACGGAAGTCCTGAGTGTGTCTGGCACCATGTTCACAGCCGGCTCAAGTTAAGCCTGGCTTCGAGCTGGCTCGCTCGAGCCAGAGCCAATTCTAAGCAGAACCATGACTATGAATACGGGCCTAGGTCGGCACAACACAACATCACAGCTTGAAGCGGGCAGCTTCTAGACCATGGCATGCAACCCAGGTGCTGCCACCTCACCCTGCCCTCAGTGTCAGCGCATCATGCGACCTCACGTGAATGTCACAGAATCCGACGGAACACGGCTTCCCCCGGGGCAGCAACAGAGGGGAGCCTCCAGCCGCCAGGTATGGGGCACACCCTCCTCCTGGTCTCCGACAGCACACCTTGCACGAGTCGTTCTTCTCTACAGACGCATGGCGCGCACACAGAGATACGCACTTACAGTTCAACACAATATTTCAAACAACTTTCAATTTGGATATACATACCCCACTCAAGTATTGGGTCACTGATTAGGCCCCGTCTGAAAAGAGTCTTAAGATGAAGAAAAGAGGCAGAATGGTTGTGCGTGCAGTGATGTGTCCCGAGTCGTGTAATTTGAAATGTTACACATTTAATTAAATTGGATTACCAACAGCTTGTCGAACAATTTCGATTCAACGCAGTAAGAAGATGCAGAGTGAGGATGTCAGCGTTCATTTCACGTGATTACATGGGCTGCCAGCGAGACAATGAAACAATGTATCCTTGATCGTGCAAGGCACCGGAGAAGGCTTCCAGATGTGTGAATTATTCAATTCACAACTGGGCGAACCATGTGCCCAGGTAATGAGACAAGGATGCATTTTAATTGTGGTATAATAACGATGTGTAGGTGTGGACCACATTGTCTAGATTCTGGAACCTCTGAGGGAAGGATTCAGAACTCGAGCTCGATTAAAAACGCACAGAATAAATGAGATCTTTCTGCCAATTCTGTGTAAAGTACTTTAGGGTGTCTGTTCGAGGTGGTGTTGAATTTAATCCAAATGTAGTGTTATTGAATGATTAATCCGAATCGTTTTTGACTGACTGAATGTCTCTATATGAAATATTAAAAGGCCATTGTTTCTGTACAGTATTCTGTAATTCGGTTGCATCTGTATGCTATATTAAACCTAATAGTGGTATTGTATGAATTCAACTGTGATGAGAAACCATGAATCAGCAAATGTCGACTCGTGAAAACTACGCTCTGTACGTCAATAATCCAAGAGGCATAGGAACCCGATGTGTCATGCACTAACCTGCACATACACAAGGCTCGAGTTTCTGCTCCAGAGTTGTGCAGAACGGCTGGCACACGCCACTCAAACAGCGACCGTGGTCGAGACACTCGGTCCCATCAGACAAGTTTCCAGGTTTGGGACAAACTCCACTGTCTCCTGAACAACAACAGCAACCGCAGATGTGGTTATCACAGCAGCGTCAAAGCACCGGGGCACAACACTACTCCAACAATATTAATACGACCGCATCCCATGCTTGTGGAGTGTGGATATAAGCTTAGTTGTTCACGAGAGACATGCACCCACCTGTGCAGAAGGCAGCTTCCCTGCAAAGGGCGGGCAGCCGACCTTGGCACAGCACTTGGTCTTTGTAGAGGCATCCTTGGCAGCAGGGTGAGTTTCGGTCACTGGATATGCATGTGTGTGCACACAGGCACACACAACAACATGTAGGCCCAGAGAAACATGCCGCGGGGACTTCTGGGTGGGGGGCATGACCCCACACGAGGATGCAGTGCCACCCCCATGAAGCAAATACTAACCTCACCGTTACCTTGTGCCTACCCATCGTATCTCAGGTGGCTCGTGGCCAGTGTGCACACCATCATCCATACCCCAGCGGACAGAAGGTTGTGGTGGTATAGCTCATTCTGCACATGCATGATAAACTGGGCCAGTAACCACTGTCATGACCCAAGCCACAGCAGGGCAGCTGTGCCCATTACAGGCATACTGAGTACAGGTGTTCACGGGTGGCTGTGTAAGCACACATTTGTGTGAATAGAAAGCGTGAATGCACTTCATTCCCCATCGACCGACAGATCTTTCAAGTAACTACTACCTGCTGATTGCGAGCTGCTCGCTCTCCCGCTGAGCCAAGTGGCCGGTGAAAGTTCACTCTTCAGTTCCAATTATTCTCAGAGACCACCAACGGTTTCAGATTACAGAGCGAGGTGACAAAAACCCCCATGAGCACCTGTGTTACGTAAAATATCATATGGGATTGACAACGTGGGACATCGGCAAGCCCTGGAGTTCGTTTTGTAGGCGAGGCCACACCTGCATAGTGCGTTTTCACGCAGGGTGCAGTTGTGGGTGCAGCAGGAGTGGTTCCTGCCCAGCGGAGGGCCCTCATCGCACTGCTCCCCATCTTCCACGCGGAAGTTCCCACAGTACTTGTGTCTCTGTGGGGTGAGGCAGCTGGCTGCCTTGTGGGATAGGATCTGCCCTACAGAACGCACGCTGCACGGGGAAAAGAGCTGTGCAGCAGAAACACAAACAGGTCCACAATGCACACGCACGCACACACAGTCAGAGCCCTGCCACAGAGACTAGTGCCATGAGTGCCACACTTCACCCATCCATCGTCGCATGTAGTCGAATCCCAACCACTGCATTAGGCAAGCTACAAATCATTGACTAAAAAAGGTTGTACTCATGTTACCTGCGTGGAATCATATGCACAAGATTGGATTATATCCAATTCGTATGCATTGCGAGTGGCTCAAGCGAAGCCTAAAGTCAATATTGGGTTCTACAGGCACCACAAAGGCAAATAGAATGTCACTCTAACTCCAAAAGCATGCAGAAGTAGCAAATTGTTACAACTCCATGCATCGCCAGATGCCAACTGTGCTTTTGCTATTGTCGGAGCCATTGTGATAGTGCTGCGCGGGCGATGCTCACGCCGTTGTTGGGCTGGTCTCCGCTCACAGCAATTGGATACATGATGTATTTGCCATCGGCGTCGCGCCCTGCAGAGCACTCCTCCGTGTCATGCCCGGCCCCAAAACTGTGGCCCAACTCGTGGGCAACGACCAGCTCCACCTCCTAAACACGGCAAACACACACACACACACATCGCACACATATGCATTGCATGCATCACACGCACCGCACACACATAGCACACACGCATGGTGGCCACGCGATGGTGGCACACGCCTGTAATCCAGCACTGTGGAGGCAAGGGTTGGTGGATCTCTTAAATGTTGTTAAACTCCCTTCCCGTGGACGTGAAGGTGGTGTCATACACTGGCTCGCCACGGCAAGGCAGCACAAGTGGAAAAATCGCCGTTTCCATCTGGAAGGGGAAAGAGTGTTGCCCCCTTGCCAACATGGGTTTTCTCCCGCTTGTATCGTAAACACGCATCATTATATGGCTGAACACATCTTAAAATAAAAACCCAATGCAGGACCCTCCTGAAAAAGAGTCCTACGACTCAGTGTGGCTTTCTTGGATAAATAAACCAATTGTTATTACGCATCACTCACGGCGTGTTGCACATATATCACACAAATACATTACAAACACGCATCACATAGAGATGAATATACTTGTGAATGTGGGCAAACAGACTACACCGTGATGGATTCCTTCAATGCAGAGGTATCTAAAAGGTGCAGAGATGAGTGGATAGTGATACATTTGACATCGGAGTTATTTATTAGGTTTATTTATCTAATTATTACACTAGTTTGCCTAGGAAAGCCTCAGTGAGTAAATTTTTGCTCAGGAGGGTCCTGGCAGGTTTTTGCAGGAGAGGGCATCAATGGCTGAGCATTTCCCCTTCAAATAACTGGCAAGTATTTTTACAAATTTGGAGCACAACACTGGCACAGAGTGGACTATTCTTACCATCCACTGTGAAGCAGATGCTGCATATCTACGGTTAACACACCTGGAGTAATAACACTGTATAACCATTTTTTTTGTTCCTGGGTAGTAAGTATTATTTGCTAATTGCTCATGCCTCAAAAGTACAGAAAATGGCTATTATTCCCCACAAACTTTGCTTTTGTGACCAGGACAATGATATTTTTAAATGTACCTATTTTCCAGATAGATTCAGTGCTGAGTAAACTTGTAGTAACTTCTAGAACATTCTAGAACTTTACAGTAATATAAATAGTAGTACAGGGTGTTTTAAAAAGATGGACCCAATTTCAAAGCAGTATATTTCACGATGGCAACATGTTACAATTACACAAAAAGATACAAACGGTTTAGTGAGTTATCAAGTTTTACTAACCATTTTATAAATGCTTTATGTGCCCTCCACCTGCTGTACAGACAACATCGAAACGATAGTTGAATTTGTTTCCTCTGAGGTGCGTGGTCGCCCTGTGCTCTTCCCCTTACATACACAGCCTGTTTCCTAAAATTGTCGGTACCAACGACGAATGCTCTGACATTGGCGGATCAATGCCAAAACGCTGTTGAAGCGCACGCTGCACCGCAATTACGGATTCAGTCTTGCAGAACTGCAGAACGCAAAACGCCTTGTGTTGCGGGGTCACCATCTTGCGAATGACTGAGGCTAGGAGCTGTTTGTGGGCATCTAGCGGTAATCATTTGAAACTCTATGCCCCGCCCTCTCTATGCCCCACCCTCTCTATGCCCCGCCCTCTCTATGCCCCACCCTTTCAAGTGGTAAGAGTTTCATTCAAGGGCGGTTCGTGGTTGCAGAGATATAGCGATTTCAAATCGGGTCCATTTTTTTGAAACGCCCTGTATAAATACAGGGGCCTTAAGCCCACCAGTTTAGTTCCAGCTGCCGAAATGGATACATATCTGCATTTTCTGAAATGGCATCAAGAGGCTGCAAGCATCTGGCAGATGCATTTTGCTATGTCTGCAGCCAATTTATGTGTCTCTGTGTTGTCTCTCTCTGCTCGTGTGTCTGTCTGTATGTCTATGTTGTGTGTCTCTCTGTGTGTCTCTGTGTTGTCTCTCTCTGCTCGTGTGTCTGTCTGTGTGTCTCTCTCTGTGTGTCTCTGTGTTGTCTCTCTCTGCTTGTGTGTCTGTCTGTGTGTACCTGATGACAATTGCACATGTTGCAATCGAAATGTCGTATTCTATTATTTAATTGATTTTCTTTCTACGTGACTTTAACGAAAAAACAAAAGAGTATTTTCCATACTCTTTAGGTATAAGCAATTAGGAAATAACACTTACTATCCAGGAACAAAAATTGTGTTACATAGTGCAATGAGTTGGCAGCCAGCGGGGGCATTAAAATCATGAGACTAAGATCATGAACACCTTGTTATAATCATTATTAAGGCAGTGCGGGGATATGGGAGATGACCCATATTACTCAATTGGGATTATACATAGCAATCATCACCTCCTACTGGCAGACTGATGCAGAGGGACAGCTTTTGCTGGGGATGCCCCTAGGCTTGGCCATACAGAAGCAATCATAGTCCCCTACTGAAAGACGAATGCCCCAGGTCACTCGTGCAAATGAAACTCATCCAGGTCTCTTTAGTTCTCGCCTGGTTACACAGAATCAACTGAACATACTTTGGGTAGCCTTCATGCAGAGATATATTGTTGATAGCTGTTTATGGTGACTTTTAAGGAAGTGTTGTTTATTTTTGGCACAGAGATATTTTGTATCGTACTTTGCATGTCAGATCTCCCTTGCTAAATCCCCAATTTTTGCTGCAAGGGCACTCACCTGGTTAAAACTGAAGTCAATGTATGTGTGTACTGTATATACTCAAAGTGCACCTGGCCTAAATTTTGACTTAAAACTTTCGTGACTGCAGGAATTCATATTCTTTGGTTCTTTTGATAAAGTCACATAGATAGAAAAATAATAATAAAGTTAATAAAAATATAAATAACAATATAAATAATACAATTATTTAAAAAAACACGACGTTTCGATCGCAACACAAGCGGTCATCATCAGGAAAAGGGGGTTAGCCTCTAAAGGCAAACTGTTGTGTTATTTTTCGATTTAAAGCTTTCGTGACTGCAGGGATTCATCTTCTTGGTTCTTTCGGTAAAGTCACGTAGAAGGGAAGTAATAAAATAATAAAAATAAAACATAATAAAATAAAATAATTATATTATATTATTATAATTATATTATATTATTTTATTTTATTATGTTTTATTTTTATTATTTTATTACTTCCCTTCTACGTGACTTTACCGAAAGAACCAAGAAGATGTTGTGATATTTTTTCACTTCATTATTATTATTTTTCTATCTACGTCACTTTACCGAAATAACCAAAGAATATGCACCTGTCTTCTTGGTTCTTTCGGTAAAGTCATGTAGAAGGGAAATAATAAAAGAATAAACATTTTACATAATCAAGTACAATTCTCACGACGTTTCGGCCAAAATGCAAGCAGCTGTCCTCAGGTGAAGAACAAGTCTGTCGGAAAACAACAAAAAATGCACCTGGCCTGGCACAGGGCACCGTTGTGACGTCACCGCTACTTAGTGGCGAATTGTGGCTGTTGTATAAACTTTAGTACTCGCATGCAATTTGCCTACAATAGGAACTGTGTGCCTTGGTAAGTAAAGGTGTCCAATGCTAAGATGCTATTCACGTGCCATACGCAAAAAATGATTATTGAAGGGGTTACATCAGCACCAGAGGCAACACACCTTTGTGAGGATCGTCTTGCCATAGTTCATGGTACTCGTCAGGCCCGTGTTGTACGACACGTTGATGCCATTCTTTTCTTGGACTCCTGCGAGCAGCACAAATGCCTGTTTCGTTACAGCCGCTGTAAGTTCGCTATAAACCCGTCGGCCACGCAGCAAAAACGAAACCCGCGGGGTGTTGCTGCACGCGCGTGTCGACGCGTTTCTGCACCACGCCAGTGTCCGTGTGTCAGCGAGGGTGCGCGTGCGCACGTCCGGGATCGCGGGGATTCGTACGCTTGCTGCACACGCCGCCATCGGTTTTCCCGGTGGGAGAGGCAACGTAGGCCAAGCCCAGGATGCCGTCCTCGAAATCCTGGTAGGTGAACAGATGAGCCAGGCACACTTGCGACGCCCGCTCCGACACATCCATGCTGAATTGCTGTCCGGAAAATGTGCACACGTTCACGTGCACAGACAATGCGTACACAAACACACACTATTAGATACAGGTCACATTTCCCCTCATGAGTAGTGGCATTACACAACGTTGATTTTTCACGGTTTAAATGAGATTATCTGCGAGTTATTCACCACAAGAGCCCCCTTGTATGTTAGGGAGGCCACGGCACTCAAGGAGCACACAACACATGGGGAATTCGTGTTACCCCCCTGCCTCGGTGATGTGGGCTTTCTCCAGGCACACCGGTTTCCTCCCACACGTATACACACCCATTAATAGAGTAGGCCAAACATCCTAATATAGGACCACAAACCTTGGCAAAATCTTGGCACCAGATCTAGCTGCCTTCCTGCTCATTTATAGTTTTCACCATGTCTCTACAAAAAACTAGGCATTTAATAATTCCGTAGTGTTTTGAGATGTACTTATGTACAATTTCTTTCGCACCGTACATCGCCAACCGTGCTAATCGGAGTTGTGGGTTAAGGACAACAAACTCAACACAAAGAGCAGTTCTAAAGAAATGAGTTGTCAATTTAGATTTAAAAGTGCATAGCTCCAGTGGCTTCTTAATATCACAAGAGCGTTCCAGACTGCTGCAGGAGTGCATCTGAAAGTGCCCGATGCAGTCATCGTTTTTGTTCAATGGTTAACTAAAAGCCACTGCGAGGATGACTGGAGTTTGAATGATGGTTTATGTTCCTTGACGAGATCAGCAAGGTATTGCGGTTCATTTCGACAAACACATTGTGTGTAATGAGTGGGAAAATGTTTTTATGAAAGAATCAACAGCATAAAAAGCACATATATATAAATTAGTGTTACCCGCAGCAACTCGCTGACATTCCACGCGTGAGAAGTGGTGCCCAGACTGGGTGGGCTTGGGAGACCGTGAGTGATGGGGCTCGGGGCAGCTTCCATGTTGTAGTGTCGCTCGCCACCCACAACCACCGTGGACTCCTCGTGTATCAAGATCTACCGTACACACACCATGCTAACTCACGCAAGCGATGCTTACAAGTACACAAAGACAAAGATCCCCAGTATAGCCTTCACGGACTGATGGAGCAAGTGCTCAGCGAGCACCTATAAAGGCCGGCAGAGCACCTGAGGGAGTTGGTGACAAGAACCACACCCAGCCGCCTTCGTCTCTCGAGTTCTGATATTTACACATTGCACCTGGTAATTATATTTGAGGCTAGAGGAGGCCCAAGACTGGTTCAGATAATCATTACTGGTGTTGGCCGTGAGCACGAATCTAACTCAATTCGCCGGATTCGTAGGGCAGCGCACTAACCACGACACTGCCGCTAACCATAAGGACGCAGAAACCATGCTTGTACGCATGTACGCACAGACAGTGCTGACATCCATCAACCTTTCAAACACACACGCATAGTTCTTGCATACGCACATCGTTCTTGCACACACGCAGTGTTTGCACACACACACACACACAGGCATATCAAATGTACACATGGTATTCTCACACACACACACCGTGATCACACATGCAAAGTACTCGCACCATACTCGTCACTTCAGCATATCTAAAGTATGCTTAATAACACCCAGAAACATTAAGCCAGGCAACAAAGCCACAAAACAGCAGAACAAACGTGAAGAAGTACCCACCTCCTGGATCTGGATGCCAACACTGGCTGCCTGTTCACCCCAGTGCGTCCCACGGAAGATGCCATCTACACGGTCGACGAGTTCGATCTGGCACGCGAGCAGACAGGTGCGCGAGAATAGGCACGAGTCGCACACAGGCACACACCTCGCACAGCGTGAAGCCACGGTCGGACAGCATTCGCCATCACTGGTTGTAGAGGTTCACAGTTCGAATGCGGCAGACCACCCTAGTTAATACAGCTGATGTTTTTATTAAAAAAAATATTACGCACTGCCTGCTTCGCAGTGGACATTAAACGTCTTGTGACAACATTCAAAATTAGTGGTCCATTTCGTGCCGGTGTCATGGTCCAACTGGGACAAATTTGAAAAATTACATGGAAATCTACTTCATTTGCAAAACACATAGTAATCATCACCCGCTAAATAGGGGGGGGGGGGTCTGCACACCGAGATGATTATTTACACAATCAAATGCAATACAAATGTAAGTTGATTCATTCATTTGTCTTGAGAAAACTTGCCAGGACCCTCCTGAGAAAGCTGAGACTTTTCTGGGTAAAGAAGCAAAACAGGACAAATTCAGGAAGAGGGTCAAAACGCGGGCTGTGGTCTCAGACTCACCCCCCTCCCACGCGATAATGAACTGGAATACTGTTTGTATCAAAATGCTTGACCGTTAAACGTGTTACCGGGCAACATGTTCATATCAGGCATTGGTAGATAGTCAATGAGGATATCATTTTCAGGCATAGCGAGACTTCAACAAAACCTTCTTCAATGGAACAGAAGAATTGTGCATTAGACCCATTGCATTTAGAAGCTGTGTCTATGCAAATTGCACCGTACACGTGGAGGACTCAAGTGAGATGATGCGGGGGACACGGTGCGAAGGATTCGTGAAATGAGAAGCTGCTGCAGCATCATTACAATGCACCACTAGGGGAGAGGCGCATGCTTTGGTTTGGAAATATTCCCAACGTAACAAAGAGCTGCAACGTGTATGCAACATGCATTGTGGAGAGGCTTTTCAAAAGGACGGATGTGGGAAAATGTTTAGGAATGCTTGTAGTGCAAGATTGTAACGCTCGTGTTAAGAGGGATTTTTCCCCATATAACATTGAGATGACAGGCAACAGGACCCGGACTGGTAGCTCAGTGCTAGAGCGAGCGAATCGCAAATAGAAGGTTACAAGTTCAAATTCTCGTTGGGGGTTGACTCAGCATATCATCCATCTGTGGTCAAGTAAACTAGGTACCACTTTTTGGGGAAGTCAAAAGTGGCTGTTGTCCTATAGACTCGCCCACTCCCATACGATTGGGGAATCTCCACCACTGGCTCAGGTTCTCTGAACAGGCGATGAGCACCAATGCCTCAATGCTCATTGGGTTAGGGTTACCAGGTAGTTGATGGTGGTCCCCTGTTGGCCCCGCCCCATAGCCTGGAAGAAGCGGAAGTCGGCGACCAGGAGCAGGGTGCACGTGTCCTTCACGGGCTCCCCCATGGCCCCCACCGGGCCCCCTGCAGCAGCGCTACGTTTGGGGCGCACGGCCTCTCCTGCTAAGCAGAGAGCAACCAAATGCTACAGCACCGTACAACGCCAGTGCATCGAACAGCAGCAGCGTGCGATTGTAGCCTGGGGCAGCAGCATCGTCGTATGAAGTTGGGGATTGTACAGGATAGACGGTAATAAAAGCACCGAGTGGAAAGGGCCCGGGCGGTACCAAGTTGCAAGTTTGTTTCGGTTAAACAGGCGAGAACTCAAGAGACCAGGATAGTGTCATACGCAAAAGTGACCTGGACCACCAAAATGACACAAGCAAATAACGTAACACCAAGTGCAACAACTGCTCATAGTGCAATGACGTTAACGAAACATGAAAATGAGATAAGGGCAATTATTTCACTCATTTTTAAATAGGCGAGGATGTATGTCAAATACAATTTCAAATCAAGCAATTGTACAGAATCTACACTTCAACATTAAACTGTGAATTAGATGGCAAGGGGCCCTGGTACTCACCACTATTGGTAGAGCCAAACTGCTGCCCCGGATGCTCCCCAGGACGGCGGCCCTCTCGTTCACCCCCCTTCTTGGCACCGCGGGGCGGTCGAGTGGCACAAAAAGGTGCGTGTGAGCCCTGCAGGGCGTCGCCCCGGTAAACAACCATGCGCTCATCCTCCGGGTCGCCCGCCAGCCTCCACAGTGGCTGAAAATATAGAGCAGAGCATCAAATCGAGGTCTATCTTCTTACTACAGCAATCAGGGATAATTCTAGTTTAAGTCATACCATTCAAATGCAACGACATCTCCGTACAAAACAACATATTGGGTGGCAGTGGCAGTGCAGTGGTAAAGCTCCTACCTCACAGCAAGCAGGACCTGGGCTCAATTCCTGACACAGATGCCTCTCTGTATGGAGTTTCTATGTTCTTGTGTGCTCTGCATGAGTTTCCTCCAGTTTCTATGGCATCCTCTCAAAACTAGACTAACATACAATTTAAGTAGTACTGGCTAAATATCCCAATGCTAGAAAAATACCTGCAAATTAATACATTTGGATTACACACAGCAACATCGCCCCCTACCGCAAAACATGGCAGGACCATCCTAAAAGTGTTATGGTACTCAAATAAGCTATAACAATAATAACTTAACAGATGACAAACTTGTGGAAGAAATGGCTGAAAGAAAGCATGAAAATACATAAATGATATACAGTTTTGAGATAGATGAGAGGCAACTATAGAATAAGGACAGAGGATAATTGTAATGGCAGGCAGCGCATATATAGATTAAAATACATCTTCGGAAACCTCAACATGGTATTCATCTCCACTGGTGAGGATCCGTGCAGAAAATTCACCCTCCCCAATGTAGGCCTGAACCGAAGAGTCAGAATCTCCTGCACACAAGACACCGCACACCACGTGACACACACACACCACACTGAATTACATATGGCACCACACACTAAGTTATACACAACAACTTAAACACAATACCACAAACCAAGCTACACATGACCCCACATACTCACACAGATGCAAGGGATTTCAGTAGTTTGTGGCATGAGGAAGGAGTGCAGTTCACTCTGACGTTGTTACTCCTGCTGTTGTTGGTGGTGCACAAACCTTGCACGTATCCCGAGTAGAAGCCATGCGTGTTCAGCGGCAGGGGCCTTACCCCCCCCGACGCATCTTGCATCAGAACCCGAGCAGAGTCGGTGAGGAGGCCACGGCGTGCACTGAGGTGCAGAACGAACTTCCTGCACGTGCACACACGCATACGCATAGCAGCACACTCACAATACCGACAGCTGCCATTTGCCACTAAGTGGTGGTGATATCACTACAGCGCTTGTGCCAGGCTAAATGCCCTTCTAGACTGTCACATGAAGTGTTGAAGGCTCGCTGACATGCCATGGGAAAGTTACAGGTTAACTACCTATGATAAATGGCAGATGCAACACCTGTGCCCCCCTACTGTGCCAATTTATAGCATACTAAAAACAACAACAACCGCCATTCGCTACTAAGTGTCGGTGACGTCACCACGACGCTTGTGCCAGGCTATGTGCACCTTGAAGCCACGTGAAGTGTCGAACGCCCGCTGGCAGGAGATCACAGGGCAGACCCAGATGCCACAGGTCTTTTGAGACGACTGGCTGATGCACCACCTTTGCCCCCTACTGTGCCAACTTGCTGTGCTTAAGCCACCCGGCGCTCCGCTCGTTGTTGTGAGTGTCGCTCCTCTGCCCTCCGTTGTTGTTGGAGGGCGACTGCCTCCAACTGCCCACTAGCGTCCTTCACGAGCCTCCTCCACAGAGGCCCATCTTGTCACCGTTCGTACCAGTCATCGGCAAGTCCGCTCAGCTCCACATCCTCCTGTACCACATCATTCCATCTCTTCTCTAGCCCGTGCCGTGCCAGTTTCGCCCCCTCGATCCGGCTGAACAAAAGCTGTTTAGGCATGCGGTGGCTGCGCATGCTGGCTACATGGCCCAGCCAACGCAGCCTTGCCTGCCGGAGGAGCTCACCGATGGGACTTCGTCAAGATCTTTCAAGGATTTGTGAGATCCTCACACAATCCAGCCTGGTCAAACCGAGGATGGATCGTAGGCAGGCCAGCCTAAATGTTTCTAACCGGCAAAAATGTTTCATTAGGGGGGTCCATGTTTCGCAAGCGTAGAGAAGGGATGGAATGACCGTGGCCGAGAAGACCTGAAACTTCGTGCGGAGCGACAGACCAGGTAGCTTCCACACAGCGTTACTGATGAAAAGATAATGCCAATCGACTGATTCGGAGTGAGACCTCTGCTGTTAAACCGGAGCCGGTCATGAGCACACTGCCCAGGTATGGGAAACTCTCCACTCTCTCCAGAACTACCCTATCACCAATTGAGAGTTGTGGGGGTGGAGTGTCCGATGGTACCAAATACCCAGGCAGGTGCTTAGTTTTGGTGGGGCTGATGGTAAGGCCCCACCTCTTAGTGGCAAGCTCCAGGTTCAGCAGCAGCGCCTCCAACTCCTCCTCTGAGTGAGCAGCAATTATCAAATCATCGGCATACATAACATGGTTGCGCAATGGGGAGCCATCCCTTGACCGCACCCGGGCATTGATCAGCCTCCCATTGTATCTGTACCAGATGGAAATTCCTCTGGTACAGCTATTGAAGGCTTCACGAACTACATGGTCGAAATAGATGTTAAATAATGTGGGAGCCAGAAAACATGCCTGTCGCACCCCAAGGTGTAGAGGGAATGGTTCCTACTCCCGGCCACGTAGTTTTACTCAGGCCCGCTCACCATCATGAAGATCCTTAATGATCATGAGCAGAGGGTCATGGACTCCGAAAGCACGAAGAACTACCCAGAGCCCAGGCCTACTGGTGGTATCAAAGGCCTTGACCAGGTCAATAAAGCAGAGATGTAGGTCTTGTTGGAATTCCCTACACCTCTGCTGTAGCAGACGGACAGAAAATATGGCATCTGTGCAGAACTGCCCTTTCCTGAAACCGCATTGAGGCTCCGCCAGCACACTAAATACACTCAAACACGCACACACATACTGGGACACTTAATACACCAACATACCAATACAAAACTCCCCATATAGCCTCAACAGGCCATTGATGCAAATGCTATTAAGTGAGCACCTATGAAGGCCCACACAGCACACGAGGGGGTGATGTGGACAGCACTATGCCCGCCCGCCTTTTTCTCCCCAGTGGAGATGTTTACTCACCATCCCAGGTACTCATTTAAGGCTGAGTCAATCGAACGAGAGATTTCATGAATTGTATGCAGTGAAAGATGCTAGTCAGAGTATGTGCACATTTACAAAACAGTGATGCAGCCAATGCTGATATGTTGCAGAGCCATAGATATGGAATATAGTTCTTGAAAAGGCAGAGATGATAAACCTAATATGATGTTGGGAATATCTCTAAGGGAAAGGAAGAGGAATGAAGAAGCGAGAGCCTTAGCAGGGGTTACTGATATTCTCGAGAAGCTAAGGGAGGCGAGACATGGACAGTTTGGGCATGTGGTGAGTTGAGACAAAGAATATTAAATTTGAAGGGCACTGGAGATGCCAACAGGGTGGAAGAGCAGAGGGAGAACCCAGGGTGAGATGGCACACGATGTGGTTAAATGAGATACGAGCATAGTGGATGTCACTAGAGAAGAGGCACAGCAGACAATTACCCGGAGATAAGAACATCTGAGCAACTAACACCATGCAATAATGGGACTTCTAGCTTGGGAGGAAAAGTCTGCTCACCAAAAAAATGTCATAACATTTACTGTACATCCATCAGACTGGAGAAATCCGATAGATCTTCTGTATGGATGTTTTTGGCAGCATTCGCTAATGGATCTAACTTTCTGAATCTCACCAGTAGGATATGACCTGCTTGACAAATGTGGCCGAGGATCAGAAAGTTGAATCCACTACATGCAATGTTGCATAAACACAGGCTCTGGAAAACATTCGTCCAAGAAGGCCCATGGGATAATGGATTTGGGCAGAAGTTTGTGTTATTAATCTCCACACTTCTAGTGCCGCTCGGGAGGGCTCCCCTCACACACGACTGCGGGTCACGATTCCCACACCTGCCGAGCGCCTGGAAGGACACGGTCCTGTCCCGAGGCCCCACCGCCACGTCCCTCCGGCTCATCCTGTGCTCCATGTGTGAGAGAGAGAGCAGATCGTAGTGCCGCAGAGCCTCCAGACCCCGACCTGCCGGCATGAGTCGGTTAGGGGCGCAACAATGCACAGATTCATTCCTCGATAGAACACGGATTCTCTCGACTCAAGTCAAGGAACATAACACGTCCGAGTTTACATTTCCGTATGAGATGGGGGGATTAAAGCAGTGGATGTGCAGGCGCTGCATGGATTCCTGCATCACAGGATCATTCATGAGAGATAGTGGCAGATGTGGGGAGACCTTCATCCAGCACTGAATTGAGAAAGGCAGGAAATGATTACGCCGTTACATAATACTTCAATTGATATGGGTCTCCGGAATTGCCACAACAGGTCGAATCGCTGGGTGTGGGGCCGGTGAATCATGACACCCTTAGAGAATGGGGTGGGTCAGGGAGGTAAGGGTGAGGGGAATTAGGGAGGTGAAGGTGATAAGGGTGGCAAGGAAGATCAGGGAGGTCATGGTGGAGAGGGAGGTGGAGGCGGTGAGATCAGGGTGGTGAAGGAGGTGGTTTGGGAGGTGAAGGAAGGGAGGGAGGTGAGGGTGGTTTGGGAGGTCAAGGCGGTGAGGTTCGATCGGGAGATGAGGGGCTAAGGGGCCATCCATTTAGTAGGTACATAAAAATATGTCAAAACTTGACCCCTCCCCCCCTCCCTATACGCACGCGTGCTTTTTACACCCCCCCCCCCTCTCTGCGTACGTAGCTTGACGCACCCCTCCCCCCCGAATCCTATAGAACGGCCGATATTTAATCCACGCAGAAACGAGCAAGGATTAACAATATTGACGTGTTTAAGCAAACAGATAGTCCACCGCCGGACTATCTAACTGACTTGAAGGCCAATGTCGACAAATTATTATCGAGGCTTCACCCTCCCCCCCCCCTTTTCCTATGCGTACAGTGTCAGTAGACCCCCCATACGCAAACGAACGCATTTGGGTTAACCACCCCCCTCTCCCCTCCATGCGTCCGTACTAAATGGATGGCCCCTACGGGTGTGGCTGGTGAGCGATATGAAAGTGGTGAGGAAGGTTCGGGTGGTGATGGAGGTGAAAGCGTCACGGCGGGCGAGGTCACGGCGGGCGAGGGCTTCGTTCTGCCTACAAGGAGCCAGACCCGGCTCGGAGCTGATCATGACAGGCGTCGTTTAGGACGAGGCCGCAGCTCTTACCCGCAGGTCGCCTCGGCGCCCCGTGCCGTTCAGCCGCGCTCCCCGATCCCGCCGAGAGAAGCAGCAACAGGAGCGACAGCGAAGTCGCCGAGGGAACGGGCCCCGGACCCGGTCCCTCCAGACCAAGTCCGGCCTCCATTGGAACTCCGAGCGCCTTCACAGCGCCAGCAGCTGCAGCAGCAGCAGCAGCAGACCGCGAGAGGCGTGCGGGCTGCTTCCTGCTGTTGGGCAGCCACGCCCACTGACCACGAGCGCCGCCCACGTGCCCCACAAGCCACGCCCACTGACCACGAGCGCCGCCCACGTGCCCCACAAGCCACGCCCACTGACCACGAGCGCCGCCCACGTGCCCCACAAGCCACGCCCACTGACCACGAGCGCCGCCCACGTGCCCCACAAGCCACGCCCACTGACCACGAGCGCCGCCCACGTGCCCCACAAGCCACGCCCATCACACGCGGACACGACCCCAGACAACAACAAAAACCACCGTCACGTTTCACAAGCAGAGAGAAGGGAGGGATTGACGGTGGCCAGGAGAGCTGCAGCTTCGTATGGCGCCACACCACCATACGAGCCAAGGGTTGATGGTGCGACACCACCATACGAAGCACATTGGCAAGTTATGGGAACTCCTCCATCCTCTCGACAACTACCCTATCACTTATGGGGTTTCACTTTTCAGAGGGTGGAGTCTTTTATGGCGATCACTGCCCAACGAATTTTACGCATTTTCTGTAGTCAGGCCCCTGGTGATGCTGCTGTGTTGCCAGGTAGTGCAAAAGCGAAAATAAACAAAAACACTCAACATATCCATCTGTAAAGCTCCCCTGAACGTCAACATGTAATGGGCGACGTTTTGACCAATGACCCGTATTCGTAGCACCTGTTGTTCATGGCACATAAACATGCTTTTGTTGACACACCGCCTGTAGTTTCCTCTTCAGGTCGTGTTGTCGAGGAATGTGTTGAGGTTCCCCCCCCCCCCCCCACTATAGAGTCGAGACAGCCACGGTCACCGTAGATGTGCAGGGGGTGATCAACGCAACACTTATTTTGTTCTACCTTTTGGAGCACAGCGACCACCACACAAGTCCACACGACAGGAGGGGATTTTTTTTTAAATACTAGCAATTTATTTCGACTAATTATTACAGCTACATCAGTAACATCATCACTGTATGAAACACTTTAAATGTAACTAGTCAAATTAAGCATCGTACAAACGCAAACGCGGCGCCGAGAAATGGTACGTCAAGTCGTCTCCCTTAGCACCAACCTCCCTTCCCTCGACCACAACCAGCCCTCGGCGTTGTTACCATCAACCCTCGGCTCCATACCTCGCCCTGCACCGTCTCTCGCACGGGGGAAGCCGGCACTAAAGGATGTTTGCTTGATCCCAACGAATGTCGAAGCCCCAAGTGTCGTTTGCAACACATGGCAGTGATATGTAGCGATCAATAATACTGCGATGTAAGGCACAACACTGAGCAAGGCGACTTGCACACCTCAACGCAACATGTGGCAACAAGAGACGTGAAATAGGCGACGGATGCACACCCACACTATTTCCGTATACATCTTCGGCACGCGTCCAGCACTACAGGGAAATCCCAGCATTATAATCCCAGGCGGGGATCTCTCTCAGGAAACTAATAAGGGGCCATGTGAACCATTACTGGGGTATCCGAGCTTAGCGTCTCAGCTACTGGATATCTCTACAGAGATTCATCATGGCTGTCAGAACCACTATTGATTTACTCAAAAGGTACTTGCCAGATGAATTGGGCAGTGACCGCGTCTGCAGTGTCAGTGGGACACGACTCTTCTCACCGTGAGAGCCAGGATTAGCACAACACCTAACAACGCCGCGGCACTGCGTTGCAGACAATCCAGATGATGTTTTATTGACGCTCGTTTATCCAGGTAATATCCTCGTTTTGGGATGTAATACCAGCCACATTGTATGGGGGCTCTTTTTCAGTTGAAAACCAGCAGCCAAGTCATACAACTGCTTTGCACTGCACAGCCATTGGAAGAACAGAAACCTCACCTCTGCCAATGGAAGACACAGCACGTGCACCTCACAATAACTTTGTTGGGGTCTGACATTTCAAGCAGTGATGGAAGCCCGATGATCTGGCAATTCTGAGTTGATGTTCATAACCCCCAATTCTCAAGTTGCCCGGCTTTAATATGTACTCTTTAATACGTACTTTAATACGTACATACATTATATCAATGATCCCCTCAGGCTTAAAATTAGCGGCAGCAGAAGGGCACAAAGCCATTCTTGCATCTCGCTTACATACACACTTTCATATACTCTACAGGGACCTGTGAACATTCATGTCATGTTCCCACTCCTATAAAACATGTCATAAAAATATTAATTTTTAAATATCTTATTGCAAGCTCTCATGCAAACGTGGGTTTCGGCATGTGATCCCAGGCATATCAACATTGAAACCAGCTTGTCCGATCTGCCTGATCGTCGTAGGCTTGAGACGATGCCTCTTCACAGGTCATCATCCCCAATCCCCTCAAAGGCATCATTTTCCAAGTAGCCGTCGCCACTTCCTCCACGCACTTGGCTCCCTCTGCTTGCCAACCCGCCAACCGAGGCTGAGCACGCAAGGCCACGCAGCGACATAGAAGACAACTTGCTCTGCAAAGCACACCAGAAACACACCGATGATACACCACCCCAGCAAAGCAGCTGTAACCCTAACCCACATTACATTCAAGAGACTGTGGCTCCACTTAAAACGAGAATTTGGCAGCGCTAATCCCTAATGGTGGCCCAAAGTTAGTGATGCACTTTCTTTATTCATGTGGTATGGTTCCATCTCTCCACAGGCCACCTACTAGTGACCTTCCTACCATATGTATGGACGTGTGCTAAACATCTTGAATACTGTCAAAAGACCCTAACCCTAACCCTAACCCCTAACCCTAACCCTGTTGTATTATGTACAGGTCATACAGAATGGAATCGTAACAGTGACATGGAAGTGTGATCCGAGTAAACTCATGACTAGAAACTAGAGCCATGGTCCAAGGACAGAATTACAGGTACACTGTCCTGGTGTGTACATCGTGCTCTCTGCACTCTCTTGAAGCATTCCCATGGCTGATTCCATTAATTGTCAATGCGTGCAGTATTGCATGGTCACAAGCAGACTGGCAGCAAGGGCCAATTGCACCACAGCAACACTTAAGATATTCTCCATTCTCAGCAGAATGACTAGTGGCATAACTTTCGCGTTCATCTTTTTCACTATACAGTAACCCCTTTATCTGCGAGGATTACGTTCTTGAAAACATTCACGAATACAGACTTCGCGAATGCAGAAACCTTGATCCAATGAGAAAAATTGGGTTTGCGTTCCTCGTATGAATGAACATAGGGAAGGAATGATAAATGTTTAACAATGACTACAATCACGTTAAGAATGTTTTTTAAATTATCTTTGATTATGACAATTTGACAATGGAGATGGTGAGGAATTCAGGATGACCCCTCAGGAGATGCAGGTTTTTGATAACAACTGTCTGTTATCATAAATCTTGACTTAAAACTTTCGTGACTGCAGGAATTCATATTCTTTGGGTCTTTCGGTAAAGTCACGTAGATAGGTTCAAGAAAATAACAAAAAAACTACGACGTTTCCATCGCAACACAAGCGGTCATCATCAGGAAAAGGGGGTTAGCTTCTAAAGGCAAACAGTTTATAAAGGTTTGAAAAGGGCATAGCCCAAATGTCAGCAACATGGGCGGGGCAGATCATTTTCTTGGAAGTGGTGGGCAACGACCGCGACGGTGATGGGTTTTCCACCAATCAAAGGGCGCCAGGTAAAAGTTAGCATGGTAATGTAAGATCGGTGAGCGGCCTCCACGGCGTGCGCGCTGAGGTGGCTATGTTAATGTGAGAGATTAGCATGTTAATGTGAGAGATTAGCATGTTAATGTGAGAGATTAGCGTGTTAATGTGAGAGATTAGCATGTTAATGTGAGATTGCAGAGCCGCCGCCACCACCTCGAGGTCGGTGCGCAAAAAGGTGGCTGTGTTAGTGTGAGAAATTTAACTTGTTAATGTAAAATCGGAGAGCCAAAAATAACAACTAATATTCTTTGGGTCTTTCGGTAAAGCCACGTAAAATTAGACAAATATCAGTGATATTTTTATTAAAAATTATAAAAATATCTATCTACATGGCTTTACCGAAAGACCCAAAAAATATGTTGTTATCATGTTCACACTCTGGGGAGCGCTACCCGTTATACTTTCCTTGATTGCATTCGAGTTCTTATTAATACACAATAGCGAGTTCAGAGCGGGATTACTGTAAGACTGAAGACTACACAGGCAGCAGAGGGGGCGTGCCTAATCCTCGCAAACAGTTTCAAATGTAATAATCTGCACACTCCTCCCCGGTGTAAGTGGTCTGGCATGTACACTCGCTAATACTTGAGTCCGGCAAGTCGCGAATAGGGTTTACTGTATCTGCAATGCTGAGGCACGTTCAAAAGGCCTCCTCATTGATTACTGCATCCCCAGAACGGCCTGCCAAGCCCTAACAAAAATCAACACTCCTGCACTGGTGTCATGAGAGTTATCCACTCTTGGCGATGTTGTTCCACTGGGTTGAGAGTATGTCAGGCCTGTATAGGCAGCTGGCTGCAGTCAGGTAAAGATGTGACCAAAGTGCTGTGAAAATTGCATCTACATTGTGAAGCTTGGTTTGAGGATCTAAGACCACACTCAGCCAAACACCAATAAAGGCAGTTTTTTTTATAATGACGGTGGAGATAATTATTCTTGTCTGAACTTACAGACACTCTGACCGTGGGGAGTTCTTTTGCAGATTCTGGGGACGTCTGAAAAGGACACAAAATTCATGTGAAACAACTCCTTCAAAATGTCACCCTCCCACTGGTGGATGTGTGCATGAGATGGAAATAAATATGGTGACTGTAACTGGATGCAGTGCAACTGCATGGCTGAACGCAGCACTGATGCTCAGTTATGGAGACGTGTGTGTGTAATTGTTTATGTGGCTGTAATACTATCATTTCAACTTGTAACCCACTGCTGCCACATGACATTCACTGCCTCTCGTAGGAAATAACTCAGAGGTGCAATGAGGAACCACAGACAAGCAGGAAGGCCGCCACGCGATGAGCCGGCGACACAATTGTCCAAGCTTTGTGGTTCTCTATATATTAAGATGTTAATGAGTACTGTATTTCAATGTGGGATGAAACCAAAGCACCCGGAGAAAAGCCATGCATACGATTGGGAAACACTCTATCGCATACAAGCAACAGGTGAAGCCCACATCGTTGTTGTACCACTTTCTCCGAGCAAGCCAGGGTAAGACACCTCGACACCCAAAGGGAATTTGTGTGATGATCTACCAAGCCTCGCTGCCTCCAATGTGCTGGATTATAGGCCATGTGCAAAGACATCATCACCACCTAGCTGTTGTTTGTATGTGTGGCTGCTGGTGTTGTGTGCATGCAGTCGTTTGGTTGTAAGTGGCGGTGTGTGTGCGTGCTTTGTCGTGTGTAGTGGTCGTGTATGTTACTTGAGGAGGAGAATGTTTGTTCGAGAACTCCGCCCGGCTGCTCAGTCGTCCTCTCTTCATCTGCGGCAGCACCAAATGACACAGCATGAAGCCTCGGTTCTTTTCCTCACGCATCTCAACAAGTCTGCCTACTTTGACAGGATATAGTTTTGGGGATCTCTATGCTAGACATGGCTCTATAGCCTCTAAACACTCCTCATATAACAACGCCAACATAGAGTAGCATAGATGAGGAGCTGGGCACATCGTCAGGAAAGAGCACAAAGTAGGTGACACAAAGACTTCATCGAAAAATAATCGAGCAGCCAACCCCATGCATTTAAGGGACATTTGGCTGGAATAAGAAGGTGAGCTGACAGGTGGGCTATGAGGTTGGTATGTTTGAATGTACAGTGTGGAAGTACAAACACAGTGAAATCTCAACATGGTACTCTTCAGTGGACTGAATACATTGAATGTCTGATCGAGAAAATGTAATCAGGAAATATTACTTTCTACCAAGGAGCACATGTGTTTACTGCTCTACGTGTCTCCCACTCCACTTCTCTTGCATTGCCTCTCTGATGCCGTATATCTCTATCTCTGCAGAGCTTCTCTTTCACTCCATAGTGCTCTCGTGTGGCAGCTGGTCCTCATTAGATCACCATCTCCCACTGCTCCACATGGCCTTGTGCTCACTAAAAATGCACCATAGCGACAGCTTCATCATGGACCACGTCATTACGAGTGTCGAGCTATGTGGAGAGCAGTCTAGTCACGTGCAGCAAGAGATTGAAAGATACGTGGAATATTGACACAGGAGATATATGAGCATACAGCATGGAGAAGCACCGAGCTAGAGAAGCATCGCTATGCATCGTTCTGATGTGATATATGTAGAAATTGTCAAATAGATATTTGTAATATGAGAAGATGACATGTCCATGGGAAATTTTTGGACCAACCAATTAAGGTAATAGACGCGGGAAAATGCAAAGAAATGAGAACACGAGAACTTGGTGTTACTGCGATGTGAGCATTGGTTCACCTTGCGAATCTTTCCTCCTGACTTTTTAATCATGAGCTCATCCACCATGCCCTGTAAGCAGATGCTCATCATAATAGCCTGTGAGCAGCACACAGACACACACTCATATTAGCGTTCCCATGTCATGCATACATATATACACACCGCGTTAAATTCCCCAAGTAAATTCTGTATCTCTTGCCATTGCCCACCTGCTGGCTGGAGATGCTGATCCACTGGAGTTTGTCCTTAGTGATGAGATACTCAAAGGCAAGTTCAAGTCGAACTTCAGCTGGCGAGGTGGTGGCCCGAAGGGTGGCGGAAAGAGGGGGGGCACTGACCAACCCATTGGATGCAGCAACCTGCTAGACACCACAAACCCCACATTAACATGGCAGATGCCCTGATGCTGCGAGAGCCAGGTGTGATCACACAGGTGCCATGTCAGTGCCAGAGAGCCAGGTGTGATCACGCAGGTGATGTGACAGTGACAGAGAGCCAGGTGTGATCACACAGGTGATGTGACAGTGCGAGAGAGCCAGGTGTGATCACACAGGTGATGTGACAGTGCGAGAGAGCCAGGTGTGATCACACAGGTGATGTGACAGTGACAGAGAGCCAGGTGTGATCACACAGGTGCTGTGACAGTGACAGAGAGCCAGGTGTGATCACGCAGGTGCCATGTCAGTGCCAGAGAGCCAGGTGTGATCACACAGGTGATGTGACAGTGACAGAGAGCCAGGTGTGATCACGCAGGTGCCATGTCAGTGCCAGAGAGCCAGGTGTGATCACACAGGTGATGTGACAGTGACAGAGAGCCAGGTGTGATCACACAGGTGATGTGACAGTGACAGAGAGCCAGGTGTGATCACGCAGGTGATGTGTCAGTGACAGAGAGCCAGGTGTGATCACACAGGTGCCATGTCAGTGCCAGAGAGCCAGGTGTGATCACACAGGTGATGTGACAGTGACAGAGAGCCAGGTGTGATCACACAGGTGATGTGACAGTGCGAGAGAGCCAGGTGTGATCACACAGGTGCAGTGACAGAGAGCCAGGTGTGATCACGCAGGTGTTATAGGTAGTGGCCATATCTCACGCTGGGTGCGCCGTGCCGGGCAGCAGTTGTCACGCATGAAGCGACTCGCCAACATCGCATACGCGTGACCTTGAAGCTCCCCTCCTTGGCCTGGTCACTTGACAGGAGCACGCGGAAGTTCAACTCCTTGTTCCCCACAGCAACGATCACTTTGCATCCTTTCTCCGGGAAATCCGTTACGCAAGGGTCAAACTGCAGGTACCCATAGTATTTGAGAGTTTGTGAAAATTGGATGTACTGCAAAAACAGTCGACAAAACATGTAGTTATATATGACGTTTACCATGCAGAGCTTCACTTAAAATGCATTAAAAGGTGCGCGATAATTACTCCACTTCCTAATCCTCGTCTTCACCCCACCCTACCTCCTTTTTAGATCCCTTGTCCTGCAGAGACTTTAGTTGTTGGAGCTGCTCCTTGCTGGCCACAATCCAGCCTCTCTCCACGTCACTCACCGCCTACACAGCCACACGCACCCTTCAATTGCCAAACAATGGCACCCTTTGGCCCCACAGTCACGCTGCATACATACACAGTTGGACTTACCAGTGGCCAGGTGGCTTAGGAGAAGAGCGAGCAGCTCACAAGGTGTGAGTTCAAATCATGATTGGGGTTTCCTCAGCCCATCATCCTACCAGAGGTCTATACAACTAGTAACACTTTGTCCTGAGGACAAATTCAACCCTGTCAAGAATGGATCATTTTCATCACTGTGCAGAGACACAGTTAGAGGTCTCTGGGTGTCGCGCCAGCCACAGTGCTGGAGGGGCGCCGGGTGCCTCGATTGGTGGAGTTAAGGGCACGTGACTGGAAGCGGGGAGCTCCGGCCTTGATGCAGCAAGGGGCGTGGCCGAAGGTGGGGCCAGGGGATAAAGGGGGAGCGCCGAGGGGATTCGGGGCTCGTTCCGGGGATGAAGCTGGCTAACAGACACGCACATAATGAGCAGCCTAGGGCAAGTTAGCCACACTTAACAACAGAATCCGGTGTTCAGTGATTTGTTTAATAAACGCGTTGCCTCTTCCAACAGTGTGTGTGCGCCTCAATCGACATACACTACAACTATATTCTTGGTTCTTTCGGTAAAGTCACGTAAAAGGGAAACAATAAAATAATACAAGTATCAAACAATAAAATTCTCACGACGTTTCGACTGCAACACAAGCAATCATCATCAGGTGTGTGATGGCTTGTGTTGCAGTCGAAACGTAGTGAGAATTTTATTGTTTTATATTTTTATTATTTTATTGTTTCCCTTCTACGTGACTTTACCGAAAGAACCAAGAACATGAATTCCTGCAGTTATGAAAGCTTTACATCTAAATACACTACAACTGTTTAAGTACTGGAAATGGGAGAAAAGTACCGCATCAATGCTCATTCAAACAGCAACTCTCATCGAGTTGCGTGAAACAGAGTTCAATGCTTCTGAAAACCAAGAGCAATGACATCGACAGGCAAGCCGAGTGCTCGCCAGTGGCAGTGCATCGCAGCAGCACAGCACGTCTCAATGGTGACACTCGTACCTGAATGTATAGCAGGTTCAGACCCACTATGCTTTCCATGATGTCATCATCATACGCCGTGTCCCAATAGCTGCAATAGTAGAGTGTGTGCATGCACAGAGATTAAAATAAAACTCAGTTACAGGGAATCATCTGTCCTACTCCTCAGGTTCTTTATACAGGTGTCTGCATTAAGACGCATTTCCACTGTACTATCTCTTGTAACACATCGACAAAATATGTGCATGTGAATGAACATCATGCCTTACCTTTTATAGCGTTGCATAGCTATTGGAAAAACAAGGTTAAAATGGAACATGTATCGCCCTGGTGTGTCATGGTTTGCACCGTAATTAGAAATGTAAACACATTTGTGCACCATGTGCGTGAGGCTCGCTGTGCGCACAGTCAAAAGTGCTGCGTGCGGCAGGATCCATTTATTATGATTCAGTCCCCCTGTGAGTAACTGAATTATTATACTGTGGAAGTTTCGATTATAAAATTGTATTCATTGCTATCTTATTTGTATACTTTATTTTTAAAAATACTTTACAAAGTACAACAGGTTGCAAAGGTCAGCATCTCCCTTCTGAAATAAGCAATAGACGGTATTTGCCTGCAACTGTGGCACCAGGCCAACAGTTAATGTTTCCCCACAGTGGAGGTAGGTCTCAAGAGAACAACTCCATAAAGTGTCGCTCATGTATTGACTCCAGAGAGATGAGATAATAGACCAATTTGACCCTCGGCTAGGCATTGAACCCACTACCTACCATCTTATTTGTTATTTCGGTAAAGTCACGTAGAAGGGAAATAATAAAATAATAAAATAAACCACTACCTACCACTCGTGAGTCTCGTGCACAACACAGTGCTGAGCAACTCGAAACATACATTATAAGAACAAATATTTAAGTCCGTGGAGTATTAGGCATCATTTAGTTGCAGCTATTGTGGCTCAGACAAACTTTATTAAAGACAGTTGTAATATTCTTGGGTCTTGCGGTAAAGTCACGTAGATAGGTAAAAAAATAACAACAAAAAACTATGACGTTTCGATCGCAACACAAGCGTTTGTGATAAGGAAGAAAAAAGAGGGGGAAAGCTGCTGAGGCAGACGGTCTTAAAGGTGTAAAATGGGTGTAGCCCAAGGGTCATAAACGAAGTGGGTTTTCAGAAAATATATTAACATGACCAATTACATCAACATGCTAATTTCTCACATTAACATCATTAGTGCCGCCCACTTCGTTTATGACCCTTGGGCTACACCCATTTTACACCTTTAAGACAGTCTGCCTCAGCAGCTCTCCCCCTCTTTTTTCTTCCTTATCACGAACGCTTGTGTTGCGATCAAAACGTCGTAGTTTTTGTTATTTTCATGGAACCTATCTACGTGATTTTACCGAAAGACCCAAGAATAAGAATTCCTGCAGTCACGAATGCTTTAAGTCAAGATTTGACATTTGTAATGTATCAGTCATCCAAACAAGGTTTGTTTGATCAAAGTGTTAAAGCAAGTGCGATGGAAGGTTTGAGAATGTACAGGAACGTAGACACTTGCCTTTTCCGGAGAACTATTTTATAGTCCAAGCTCTGGAGGCTTGTGACAGAGATGTAGGGCAGCTCAAACTCCTGCAGCCGGCGGATGACTGGTGGTATAAGCACACACACAATACACACAACACACATAAGCACATGTTCAAAACATACATCCCAGTTGCTGTACGGATTACCCAGGTATAGAGGGCACGCATCCCTACTCTGTGTTGATAACGTCCCTAGTCTTGATGAAATGCCGACTCCTTTATGAGACCCACGCTTCCATGTCCGATACAAGCGACTCCTCTTAAGTACCACATGGTCACGTAATCCCCATTAATTTACCAAACAACCTCTCAAAACAGGTCTCAGGAACCATCGAGCCAATCAGGGCAATGGAAACATTTGGCGGGAGGCAGTGGAAATTCACAAGTTTCCACGTAGCACAGCTAATCGCCAGCAATTAGCTGCTGTTGATGCTTCAGATATCTGTTCTCTCAAACTGGGGTTGGCTAGTTTAAGGCACAGATGTGAAGTGAACTTGAAGGACAGTACAAATTCATAAATTCAACATACTGAGTGTTGGGAAGCAATCTGGTATGGGTTTCGACGTTTCTGTTACAGGTCAGGCAAGGTCAAGTAGCTGGAGAGTGCACACTCCAAAAACATAGTTCTGCAAAGACTTTGAGCTAAAGCAAAAGAACCAGACTGGATCATTACGTTTACACAAAGTGCTGCCAACATCTACCAGAGTTTCCAGACACTGGACTCCTGAGTCTAATTTATTAATCTCCTGGGCAGGCACTGAACGCTGTCACTGACTTCATAGCATCCGTGCCACCCAAAACAATCACGCCCTTCCGAGTACCGATGAGCAACATCCATATCAACGAGCACTAAGTGTATCACTGTGTGCGAGAGCGGTGTGTATGGTGGTGAGTGACCGACAGGAGAACGCTCCGCCTCCCCGGTCACGAACCAGGAACAGCGCAAAGTAATGGACCAGCTCCTCTGGGAGCTCCAGCTTGGCAGCCACCGCCTGCACACAACACACGCCGGCAGATGTGCTACGTGACCACCCCGCAATGTATCAGAGAACTCCCATTCTCAGGAAGCTGGTTATCTTGCCACACCAAAGACAGACTTCTGGGGCAAGTGCTTTTAGCGTGCACCTATGAAGGCCGGTATGGTGCACAAGGGGTGGGTGGCCAACACCATGCCGGTCCACCTTTGTCTCCCCAGTGCTGATGTTTAAATACTGTACTGGATGCTCATTTTAGGCTGAATCGACCTATGGGAGGACCAGGACCGGTTCAGATAATCATCACTGGTTTTGGCCGTGAGCAGGAATTAAACTCGAGTTGCCGGGTTCGTAGTGCAGCGCGCTAAAAACAACACTACTGCTTGCATACCACCACCTCTAAAACACCACCACCATGCATGTACAGTACCAGCAGCATTCGGTCTATTAAACCACAGGGTTATGATAAAAGAAAACCAGAATATTAATATTCAGTTTCTTAGTCTTTTTGAAATGGTGATTTGTCTGGGAAAAAATAACAACAATTGCCATGCAACTATTGATGAATTATTTAATAAGAAGTGTGTTTAACCAATGATGACAGCAAAACTGCAATGGGACCCTACATGAACAGCCCAACTCATGTTTCAAAATAAACTAAGCCCAGACACTAATCCCACTTAAGCTTCATGTTCAACTCGACACTAACCCAGCCTAAGTCTAACAATACCGGTAACCAACACCGTACCTAAGCTTAACCTAAACACAAATCAGAAGCTTGACCCAACTCCTCAAGCTTAAATTTCGATTTAAAGCTTTCGTGACTGCAGGGATTCATCTTCTTGGTTCTTTCGGTAAAGTCACGTAGAAGGGAAATAATAAAATAATAAAAATAAACATAATAAAATAATTCTCACGACGTTTCGGCCACAACGCAAGCTTAACCTCAAATAGGAGCCGTGACTGGTGCCCAACCTCAAGGATGTCGTCGGTTTGATGAGTGCTCTCCACGTGAACAGACACCATCTGCCCATTGGCCAGCAGCACCTGGAGCTGCACCGCCTGCGAGGGCACCTGCTGCGTGTCCTGTGTTGAACAACACAACTGTGTCACTGTGTTGAACAACACAACTGTGTCACTGCATTGAACAACACAACTGTGTCACTGCATTGAACAACACAACTGTGTCACTGCAGTGCTTGTGCCAGCCAAGGTGCTCCTCGAGACCACATGAATTGTCGAAGGCGGAGCACCCTCACTGCCGCCATCAACACCACCTTCACTTCACAATGCAGCATTCATCACCAACTGCAGCAGGCACTGTGTGACCGCATATACATATCGATTATTATAAAGCAGTGGAGTTACCTGTTGAGCTTTCCTCAAGAAGCTGTGGAATACCTCACTGGTGCCCAGCACTGGGTCCTGGCTCACTGCAAACAAACCACAAAACTTTGCACATACAACAGAAATGCACGGATGTGGATGGTTGTGCATTCTAACAACACATCATTGAGACACACATAAAAGCACATAGCTACAATCTGAAATCACCATCACTGTGTGCAGACTGCTAAACAGAAAACGTTACACAACTTCAAGTAGTGCGCAATGACTAACAAAAAATAAACGATGAAGCTTCGTACTCAATGCAACCAGGCAGCCAAGCGTCAGAGCGAGCCGTTCGCAATTAGGTTACAAAATTAGAATCCTGGTGGGAGGCTGAATCAGTCTATCATCATCCATTCGGATCAATAAAAATTTGTACCATTTTGTGGGGAAGTCAACAGTGGTTGTCCTATGGATACTCACCCACAACCATAGGAATGTAGAATTTCCTCCACTGGCTCAGGGCTGTATATAGCATTTGAGTACCACTTTAATGTGCATTTGAACAGCCGGTTTTCACTTTTGACTCAAAAGTACTCGATTAATTCCAGAGAATATGATCTCCTGTTACTCACCCGCCTGGATGTAGCGTTCTAGCAGCTCTCTCCGTTGTTCCACCTGGGCAGAGCTTAGTGGCAGTAGTCGCTTGGGTGGGAACATCTGCCCCACTCCACCTCCTGAACACCTCTTCAGCTGAACACATCACCAGCATAATTTCAATGTTTAACGCGAAAAGTTTTCGCTCACTCTCAAGACGTAGATAACAACTCAGAGGCGGAAGGAACCACAGACGAGCAGGAAGACAGCCACATGATCAGCTGGCACCAACAAATACCCAAGCTTTGCGATCCTCTATATATTCAGGTGTTATCAACCATGTGGGAGAAAACCAGGGCATCCAGAGAAAACCCACGAATGCAAGGGGGAAACACTCTATCCCATACAGAAGGATCAAGTGGTATCTACATTTTTACTGGACTGCCAATGACTCAATAATTTGATGTTAATGTTTTTCGAAATTTGCTACCATCAGTGGTGAACGTGGTATTTCATTCACATTTCCAGATTTTACCCCTCATACACAGACCCCTAGTCAGTAACTGCTGCCTTCCTTGTCATACACGAAAACGCGACTCCCGTACAGCCTTTAACAGACTGTTGGGGCATGTGCTGTGAGTGAGCCTCTATGAAGTCCGGGTTGGCACACGAGGGGGTGGGTGGCAAACACCACGTTTGGCCACCTTTTACACATCGCACCAGTTACTCATCTGAGGCTGAGTCGACCTAGGGGAGGCTCAGAACTGGTTCAGATATGTCACTGGTGTTGGCCATGAGTGGGAATCCAACTCTGGTCGCTGGGTTCGTAACCCAGCGAGCAAACGACTGCACTTCCTCTTCAAACATACAAACCAACATAATTACACACTCTCGTGTAAAAGCCAGGAGAGGGGCCATTTTACACTGCTAGAGTGACACTTCACATGCTGGATAGATTGTGTGCAATTGTTGATGTCTTTTCAACTGCAGCCCCACCACTACCACTGTGTGCACCGCATGTCTACCCATGATACCTCCAGGCCTCACCTGCTCATGCAGGCCGTGCATTTGGCTGTAGCGCACGCGGCAGTGTAACGCGCCATTCACGTGGATGTTGTAGGTCTGAAAGCACGCACGTATAAACAGGAATCAAGGACAATATTGTCTGATCACGTGTCATTTAAATTAACACAAATAAAATACTTTTGGGGGAAAAACTCACCACAGATTCAACCGATCACATCGGATCATATTGACTTGTTGTAAAATATCTCTTTGGTTTGGTTTTTGATGAACACATGCCAATGTCTCCATCATCAACAATGGACAAATTGCCAAGGCGATAGGTTTTGGCCACTTCGCTAAGATTTGTATCTGGTTCAAACCATCTTTTGTGGAATTTGGCATAAAACCATCACCATCAAACCCACCATTTCAGAACACCCATTTTAACATATCTGTTCACCATTCAACTTAACGTTTAAGAGGCGAGCCATAGACCCACACTGATTATTGTGTTAACCTCACTGCAACAGGGATACCCATAATGCAACGTACCAGTATATTTTATAAACTATACTTCGTATACAGATGTGTATGCATTAATACATTTGTAGTGACATAAATGGTGTCACTATAGTGTCACGACAGTATCGAGTGAAGAGTGGTCCTGTATGTGCGGAGCCTCTCTCTCGCACCAGAGTGAGTATGCCATGGAAAGGCTCAATAGAGGGCATAGTCCCTCCCGGTGGCAGTGAGAGAGAGAGGTGGGTGAGGACATAACAGTCGGGGTGAATCTGAGAGGGCACGTGACCGGACGAGGCGGTAACGAGGGCCAAAGAGGAGGTGAGAGGGACACGTGATGTGGGCCCCGAGTCTACGAGAAGGATCTGGGAAGGGGCGTGGCCAAGGGCGGAGCCTGGCCACGCGGCAGCCAATCAAGGCCGAGTCCCGAGAGTGATCAGAAATCCTCCGTCTTCGACCCTGGGTCCTCGTTCGTCACGCACGTGGACGAGGCAGCGTGTTCGCTGTCCTGGTCCGACGTAGTCGTTATCCCGTCCAGTGTGTACATAGTCAGCCGTGGTGGTCACCACCCTGTTAATGTTAATAGTCACCCAGTAGTCGTAGCTAATAAACGTGTTGCCTCCAAGATCAAGTGTGCACCTCAATTGAACCCACTATACATTTATTGTAATTAAAGGGGTTGTCTGTTACTCGCTATCAATGAATAGTTAACTATTAATGTGCCAATCTAAATACTATTCATCACGAGGAAATATATTCTTATCCTGGCCCCATTGTGTGTAGTGATCTCCAACTCTTACCCACTTTATTTTCTCTGGCCTCTCTATTCATCTGATTTAAGGTCCATTGGCAGAAACGGCACCTAATTTATATTTTCGTTGTATATGCTGTACCGTAGTGTTATCGAGTTGGTGTACTGTCATCTCCTGGCCACTTAGCCGACAATACATGCGATTGCATTTATGTTGAAATTCTTTCGTACTGTACGTAGCCAAGCAGCCTCCATTCCAGCAGTCAGAAAGCTCAAACCCTAAATTCATGTTTGATTCAACATCGTTAATACATTTACTCTCAGTATAGACGATGTCCCGTCGCATCGCACCCTCGTCGAGACAAACTCAACGAATGAGAAACTCCGCCTCACGTCTCATCTCCACGGGAACATCAGAATGCTACTTGCCGATACAAACACTGCAGTGAGCAGTGCACACACTGGCAGATGTGTTCACCATGGGATATTCCACTCCAACGTTAAAGGCAAAGTCCAAATGTTGATCTCAAAGGATGTCACACGGCGTCACAAAAAATCAGACCCCCCCCCCTCAAATATGACGTCACAAAGCTTGCCCCCCCCCAAACCATATTTACATTTTGAAACTAAAACATGCTTCAAATCGCTTTAAACTATTGCCATTGTAGTGCGTATTCAATGTGGCGCTGCACTCTGATGTTGTATGAGTGTTGTTATAACAATCAGTGTTGTTATAACAATTCTATATTTATTTAAAGTTGCGCATTTTGATGCGACGTCACATTTCTCAACCCCTCGTCACACATCGTCACAAATGTCTGACCCCCCCCCCCCCCCCCAGGTGCGTGACGTCATATATGGACGGCCCCTTGGGGCATGTGACGTCAGCATTCAGTGGTTATCCAGGTGGTGGGATAATAACTTTAAAAAGTGCCGCTACGGGGATCAACCGGAGCCAGGGAAGGAATCCGTCGGCACGGCCACCGGCAGCGCAGGGGCCGCTGCCGACCGCGCTCACCACGAAGCGCGCCGCCTCGCCCGCCCACTCCTCCGTGTCGGGGATGGAGAAGTGCATCGCGGCACCAGCGGCACCAGCAGCGGCAGCAGCAGCAGAAGCGTGGGGGGGGGGGTCCCTCAAGTGCCGCAGCTGCACCTCAGCGTCTCCGCGGGGCCATGGCGCGCCAAGGTCTGCGGCGGCAGCCAGAACGGGCGAGGGCGCCATGCCGGTGGTGACACACGTGCGGAGTTGGGTGGTAATGAGGTGATTAGCTGCTGATGACATGATGCAAGGTGATTATGATGTCAGGTGATGTTGAGGTGTGGTGAGGTGATGGTGGTGAGATGGTTAGGAGTTTGACGTGATGGCGAGGTGATTATTATGGGAATGTGATGATGATGTTGCAGTGTGATGAGGTGATGGTGATGATGATGTTGAGGTGTGGAGAGGTGATGGTGATGATGTTGAGGTGTGGTGAGGTGATGGTGATGATGTTGCAGTGTGCTGAGGTGATGGTGATGATGATGTTGAGGTGTGGTGAGGTGATGGTGATGATGATGTTGAGGTGTGGTGATGATGTTGCAGTGTGATGAGGTGATGATAGTGATGTTGAGGTGTGGTGAGGTGATGGTGATGATGATGTTGAGGTGTGGTGATGATGTTGCAGTGTGATGAGGTGATGATGGTGATGATGTTGAGGTGTGGTGAGGTGATGGTGATGATGATGTTGAGGTGTGGTGATGATGTTGCAGTGTGATGAGGTGATGATGTTGAGGTGTAGTGAGGTAATGAAGTGATGGTGATGATGATGTTGAGGTGTGGTGATGATGTTGCAGTGTGATGAGGTGATGATGGGGATGATGTTGAGGTGTAGTGAGGTAATGAAGTGATGGTGATGATGATGTTGCAGTGTGGTGAGGTGATGGTGATGATTCTAGATTTGAAGCTTTCGTGACTGCAAGGATTCATATTCTTAGGTTTTTTTCGGTAAAGTCACGTAGGTGATGATGTTGAGGTGTGGCGAGGTGATGATGGTGATGTTGAGGTGTGATGTAGTGATGGTGATGATGATGTTGCAGTGCGATAGCTAAATTCGCTTCTCTGCGTCGCCCCGTTGGGTACCTGTGAGGTTGAGAAGGGGTTGAAGCAGACGAGGTTCAAACAGAGACGAGGTTGCTACGAAGGCAGATACGTTGGGACGGAGACGAGGTTGGGACGGAGACGAGGTTGGGACGGACAAGGCCGCGCGGACTTTGCTCTGCACTTTAGCTGGAGGAGGAGGAGGAGGGGGTGCAGGAGGAGCCAGAGCACGGGGCTGGGGGAAGGGGGTCTCTGCTGGACAGGACACGGGGCTGGGGGGCTGGGAAGGGGGTCTCTGCTGGACAGGACACGGGGGGCCCGCGCCCGAGCGAGGGGAGAATGCGCGGCGCACGAAGATCCGCGGGCCCCGCGGGCTGCTGCTGCTGCTGCCGTTGCAGTCAGCGGCCCACGTGACGCGGGTGGGATTTAACAGCGCGGGGGGGGGGGTGACGGTGGGGGAGGGGAGGGGAGGGGCTTTGGGGCCCGCGGTAAACAGGCAGCTCGGAGCCCGCAGCCAAGTGGCCGAAATGTCACATTCCTGTGGTGGGGGGCAGACTTCCCATAGAACCACGATGGACTTCCCAAAACTTTAACTAATTTTATGACCCCGAACAGGATTTTAACGAATAAATCCTCCAATTGCGAGTCACTCACACAAGAGGAAGAGGCAGGGGAGAGGTTGGTTTAGAGGTCGGGGTTGAAAGGTCAGGATGAGGTTCGCGATACGGGGACAGATACGACGAGAGGTAGGATTAGTCAGAGGTGTAACTATACCACGAGGTTATGAGAAGAGGTAGGGGAGATGTACGACTTAAATTCTTAAGTTTAGGCTTCGTTGTGAGTCTTATGGGGCTCGGGTTTAAGGTGACTGCTGTGGGTTTGGCTCGACCATTCAGGCTCGTGATATTTTCTCGAGTGTTTTCTGGAAATGTGATGAAACCTAATCACATTTCAATTCCACGTGGAGTATTGGCGCTTAAACGCAATCAAGTACAAACTACAGTATTGCAGCCGTCCTTACAACACACGCCACTTCGGTTTGATTTACATACGTTTCATATTTAAACCCAGAATATCACAATTAACTTTACAATCTACATTGCAATTTGTAATACTTTCAACTCGTAGCGCGCCACCGCAGTGTTCCCTGACTCGAACAAGCGGCACTGGCATGCGTTGAGCTGGTGCCAACAATCGCCCCAGCTCTGCAGCTCTCGATATGAAGCTGCTTTAAGCCAATTCATATTCAAGTGTGGGGGGGGGGGGGGAATGGAGCATCCAGATAAAACCCCAAGTGTGCGTCGGGATCGTCCCGTACAGAATGGGAGTGCCGCATTATCCTGCCAAGCCAGGGTATGGAACTTCAATGCCCACGGTAAAGGAGTTTCACGTTTGTGCAAGTCAACACTCGCCGCCTCTCGTGCTGGATTGCAGACATACACTACCATCTGGCTAAAGGAACCCTGGCGTGTAAAATACACATTGATCAGAACCCATTGTGGTCATGTATAACTTATTTCACACCGTCGCCAACCGTGCAAATCGGTGCGGGGGAAGGATAACTAAACACAAAGCAGTTCTAAACACTTAAGGGCATGCTCAAAAAAATGTAAATAACAAAGCTGCACAACCTGTACATTACCAAATGAACGACTTTTTATAAGTACAACTAAATGAAAATGTTGAAAAGCACACTTTTGGTTTTACTAAAAATGTAAATGCAACCCCATCGAAAAACCTTGGGAGCGATTGAATGGTGCACATGCCTTTATCAACAATTGTATTTTCAGCTCAATTCGGTGTCCACTTTTTAACAGAGTAAATGGTGCACGACCTCCATTGCACAGTCGACCATGGAGATATTTCAGAATTGCACCTTACTGCTTAAATGACTTTCAATTATCTTCAAATTCTTGGCCAGCATGCTGGACCATCTTGCCTTTCCAGTAAGGGTGTAAACATTAATTCCCTCAGCCATTCGATAAATTGTCACTGCCTCCATCAATATCATGATTCAAGACCCCTAGTGACTGCAGCAACAGTCGTCACATTACTAATAACAAACTACATGCATTCCAATCGAAAAACATTTATTATTATGCATGTAGTGATGTGCGCTTACAAATCACGATTAATCAGTCATGGATCCTGGCACCTCTCCAGCCACAAAACACACGTGTCGATGTAACGACTTGTGGTACATGCACTTTTGAAATGTTGAGTGCAAGGGTCTCTCACATCAAAGGCACAACACAATACTTAATAAAAATGCAAGACTCAAGAATATGTTGTGTGTGTTTATTGAATTTAGTACAATGAGGATCCGGTGAGGGATCTTCACTTTCCAGGCAAGATCACTCCATCGTACTGTAAAAAGAAACAAGAGGACACAGATTAGCATGTCAACAGATGTCAGTATGGAGTTGGCAAGTCCCTCCCGTGGTCACCCTCCAAATATATAAACATGTTTAGATTATTTCGCTGTTACTATGAATCCCCACACAATAAGCCACTTTGAAGAGCTGTGTGGCCAGGTCACCTCAAAAAAGAGCTTCGTAGGCAGTTTTACATGTTCTTATTCATTACATGTCAAATACAAGTTAAATATAAAACGGGAAAGCAGCAATCCTAGAAAGTGGCAATAAAGTAGCAAAACGGTGTGTACCTTCTGCTGGAACCAACGAATGGCTTCCTCCTTGAAGATGCGATGCTTGAATCCAATGCGCCCACGCTTGCGTTTTTTGTCAGCAATGCAGAATCCGGGTCGGCCCAGCACCTGGAAACCCAATAATCATGAGTCATCGTCTACAAAAGCACTGATTGAGATGCACGAATACCACGAAGAGCAAGATTCAAGACAAATTCTACCACAACTTTCATAAAATATACACCACTATATACGTGACTTTACCAAAAGAACCAAGAATGAGTACCAAATAAAGTCCAAAGCAATGTATTGTCTGCATGGCACGTGCTACCAATTATCTTGGGGGAAAAAACCTCCATCAAGACGATGCAACACGACAGCACTTGTACACCACATGTGCATGTGTGGTGTACAATTTCTTTAGAACTTCTTTGTGTTTAGTTTGTCGTCCTTCCGCCGCACCTCCGATTACGGTTGGCAATGTACGATGCAAAATAAGTTCAACATACATGTTGAACTTATTATATAGATTGAGAAACTAAAGATTCAGCAGCTACTCATAGGTATTACTTTGCACATTGCTGCTTCAGGGTGCACAACACATGCACATGTCAGAGAATGGTGCCGATGCATGCAAACACGGATAACAATAAGGCATGAACATTACAATTAAACATGTGTACAAGACAAACAAGCAAACCTATACATGTACACCGATGCACTTAATGCATGTCCTGACATGCAAGACAAAAGGGCTGCAATGTTAATTTGGACAGTCTCAATCATTGTACAGACTGCTGGGCAAAAGATTCCCCAAGATGTTATGATCCATCTTACTCCTGCATATTAACTGATCTCATCACTCCACTTTCATGGTGGTCATCCTCTTGGGCCCTTTAACAACTTTGGCTACCATTCCATCACCAGCCTGATCCATTCTAGCAATGTCCTGGCCAAGCCACACTTCCTGAACAATTAAGTCTGATATGCCATTTATTCCCAGATTCTCCATGCATTTGTATCTGTAATACCACTCATTCATATACACTTAAGGTTTTGTTCTATTTATATTTGTGTTTCAATATGCACCTATGGAAATATTTTATCTTGGGGAATATTGCTTTTCATAACCAAATGTCATTATCTGAAAGCATATTTATTTAATAACTTTGATTGCAATGCTTCAATAATTGGCCTAGTTGTATATTTTATACTGCGTTCCTGCATATTTTCCATTTTTTTGTAACTACTTCTCACAGGAAATTAAATTTGCTCCTATTTATCTGAAGTCCAACTTTGCAGCCTTTTGTCGAGTTATTCCCTCATTTCCCTTGGTATAAAGTAATTACGTTGAACTTTGTGTCTCCAGATGAAAACAAAGCTCACTTTCATTACTTATGCCATTGCATCTATATTGTAAAGCAGAAAGACTCATGAAACCAGACCCCCCCCCCCTGTGGATTTAGGAACTTCACCACTGACACGGTGGGGTCAAGGTGAAATTCATACATTCTGGAATGGAGATTCTACGCCTCCATAGGTACATTGATTGGACAGCTCACTGCTATCCACCAACTGTCCAGGGTCAAGGGGAGCCTACAAGCCGTCGTTGAAAGGATAGCACCAACTGAATAAAAATATGCATAGTTCTCACTAAACTTGCATAGCGATTCCCAATGAAATGGTGCACCTTCATTCCCTTGTCTATAATTTGTGACGACAAAAACAACTTTATACATAAATTAGGGTGCACTCTGAGACAGCCCACAAGTTTATGCAACCTATATTCAAAAGGAACTTTGTAAAACCCATGCCGACAAAGAAATGATAATAATCCTATTGCTCGTATATTTTATATTTGGCCGACATCGATATGCAGCAACTTAAAATTCAACGGTTTCTTTACTGTTCACACTGCAGTGGAGAGTGCACACCAGCAATTGTCTGCTGACATTACCCTTCAGTGGTGGCAATAATTAGCCCTCGTACACTGGATCTGCACCAATCACTGCTGATCATCTTTACAGACATATTTTACTATTTAATTTGAATAAAATGCTGGTATTGATATAGAACACACTTAATAAAGAATAACTATTGCTACCAGTCGCAGCAACCATTACAAAAATATATAATCAATGCACTTAAACATACGTTTTATTATTATTAAAATTTTAACTTCGTTTAAGGACAAACATGGATTTGTAACAAACATGTCAAGGTTTTGGGCAAGGGCCCTTTTCAAAGTATGGATTCTCTGCTACAATTGGTATGAGACCATGGCACCGAAGTTGTAGATGTTTTTCCTGCTGCACATTGCAGCAGGAAAAACATCGAAAACACGTGATGATACTACAAGTTAAGAGCAATGGGAAACAAAAGTTAAAAGGCAGATGAAACCATTGACATTGCATTATAATTACGTGTAAAGGTGCATATGGAATTAACTGTTAGTCGAGTTGGTTTGAACAATGAGAAGTGTGGTGAAATTACTCAAAACGGAGGGTGTTTGTTTTGCACGTCGCTCACCACATAGAAGTCCAGGCCATAGATGCCGATGCTCGGATCGTACTTGATGCCCAAGTCAATGTGCTCTTGAATGCCAAAGCCAAAGTTCCCCGTGTCTGAGAAGTTGGACTTTCTCAGCTCGTACTCCCGCACCTGTATTCCAGAAAAGAAATGTTACACGAATTGTAGCAACATTTTGCAAGCTGGTCACTTACTCTCAGGACCTCGACCACTCATGCATGTCCCGGGTACAATAGTGATATCTTACCGTTTAAAACATTTCTATATAGTTGCGGTATAAACAGCGATGGCGTTTATAAATGTTCTGGTATAAAAGTTTGTGTTTGCCACCATTAGACATAGTAAACAATCAAAAATGTTTCCCTTCCTACTCTGAAACTGCCCCAGTCCCTCCCATTGACCTGCAAAGCACCCAACCCTCACCTTGAGGCCCTTCTCTAGGATCTCCTCTGCCTTGGCTCCACGCACTGTGCAATGAACCGCAATCTTCTCATTTCTCCGGATACCAAAGGAGCGCACAGTGTAGCGAGCTGCAAACACCAGAAGTGTAATTTAGTTTTTACGTATATACACAGTACAATTAACACAAAACACATGCAACATTGGCTGTTATTACTCAAATGGGATTGGGCAGGACACATTGCTCTTCGGGATGGTAGCACTGTAACAAAAAAAATTTTGCTCCTGGGTAGTGTTATTTCCTAATTGCTTATGCCTCAAAAGTACAGAAATGGCTATTATTCCCCACAAACTTAAAAAAATTAAAAATGTACCTATTTTCAATGCGAAAACGTGTGCATTTATGTCATTCGTTCACAAAGTCCTGGTCACAAAAGCTAAATGTGGGAATAGCCATTTTCTATACGTTTTAACCATAAGCAATTAAAATAGCACTTAGTACCCAGGAACAAAAAGTGTGTTACATAGAGTATAGCAAATGGACGAGAAAGCACCCAAGTGGCTGCCAATGAATGGAAGGCTTCCCAGAGTCGATGCGTAGGTGCTAGCCAGATGACTACATCGATGGACCTAGGGCAGGGAATACGCCACCAAAATAAGAGCCATTTTATAAAATTCGGTAAACCACATTTCCAAGAACTGCAGTGTACGTGAATACGAGACGGTCCTTAATAACGTCACCAAGCAGTCCCGAAAGAGCCGCATGCGGTTTGGGAGCTGCAGGTTGCAGACCCCTTACCTAGCTAGCTAGGCAGTGGCGATGGCTTGGGAAGGGGCCTTCATCCAGCAGTCAATTGATCATGGATAATTAAAATTCGTCAAAGTGGAGCAAACTGGCCAACGATGCATTCATAGATTAATTTTGCCTAATTGTTGTACTGTGTATGTCATCACGCGATCCAGGTCACTTGCGAATGACTCGTCCTGCTCTTTTGAGTTTTTACCTGGTTAAACAAATCATCTTGAACTCATTCGTGCTCAGAATCTTACTCAATCATTTACCCACTGACCCACTAATTCACTCGCCCACTCTTGCAAACGAGACCATCCTGGTCTCTTGAGCGCTCGCCTGGTTAAGCAAAATCAACTTGATGCTTGCTTCTCATTACGTGCCAGGCAGCACCAGTAACTGTTTCACGTTACCCTGCAGCCACTAGAGGTGCCCCCCCCCCACGCACCTTTGGAGAACACGGGGGTCTGTCCCGTGAGCTGCTCGAGCACCTTGGCGGCGCGGGTCAGCCGATCTCCGCTCTCGCCCACGCAGATGTTGAGGCAGAGCTTGCGAATTCGCAGCTCCCGCATGGGGTTCTCCTTCTTCTCGCCCTGCTCCTAATGAACGAGTTTCACACGTGCGTTGTTGAGCAATGAGACGCAAACCCATCATCCATTGAAATATCTTTCCCACGGGAAACGCTGGGTACTTGCCGCTAGTGCATTCTACCACACAGCGCTGCGAATGTGGGGCGCAGAGCCAGTGCGCCAAGTGAATTCTCGATCAATAAGCCAAGCACCCTGTAGTGTTATACAAACCCAACGCCTCATTCCCATGGGTGCGGGGCAAGTACACGGCGGAGAAGAGTCCGTACAACACGCGCGGCCACGCGGTAACACTCCTCGCCACGCCGGGCCAGGCCACAACCAGGGAGAGGCGACCAAGAGGCCTTCACAACCAATCTACCAGAGCCTTCAGGGTCCACCAGGGCCTGCACAAAATACCCGGGTCTTCACTAAGAGGGCCTTCAGGATCCACCAGAGCCTGCACACTCTACCAGGCCCTTCATCTACCAGAGCCTTCAGGGTCCACCAGGGCCTGCACAAAATACCCGGGTCTTCACGAATAATCACACAGGGCTCGCCCTGGATAATTGTTAAGTAATCGGTACAGCAACGACTCTCACGAGCGCCCAGAGCTGGAAGCCTAGGGGATACCCTAGACCGTTTCAATAACGCGATCACTATCGCCACACACTTTACCACTATTACATACCACACCACCGCTCACAACTTTTATCGATTCACACAACCACACCACGAGTAACAACAAGTCTATCAGAAAATACGTCCACAACATTCAACCACTCGCCTCCCCCACTGCAAAGCCCATGCGGCGCTTCCACTTCTCAACTCAACCAGGCACCGCAACTCCTTGTCCGGCCGAGACCACTAATGCTCCCCACACACCCCCCATCACGGCAATATTCCCAGCGCTGTACGCGCTGTAACGCGCTGCGTCTCCCCACGGTATCTCTGCGAGGCTCCCTGGCTGCGCGCGCCGTGATGGCCACGGATTTCGCCGCCTTCCCCACAACCCGCACCTACCGCCGCCATGTCGCCCGGCTTGAAAGGAAGAGGGCGCCCAAGGGGCGGGGCCTTGAAGACGAGCATGACGTCACCGCGTGACGTCACGTCACCATACTCTGGTTGTGCGAAGGGCCCCGTCAGCCTCCTGCGATGACGTACGCGCGCTGGTCGACGTCATCGCCAACCAGCGAAATGACGTCACGTAGGTCATCGTGCACCCTGTGCCATGTGCAGGGACACGAGGTTGGCGCCAGAGGGCGCTGCAGCAGCGCGACCCGCGTGCCTCTTGCGTCCGAGTCGCGATGCTCGAGGATCTCCTCTGAGCTCGCCGCCGCCTTCGGCAGCAACCCGCGATAACAAGTGTGGCGAGCACTTGCGTGTGAGCATGCCCACTTTCAGTGAATGTGTAGACATGTTACGTGTGGACGCTGTCGTATTGGGGCTGCGGGTTCGGGCTATGGGTAAGGTGGTGCTATCGGCTGTGAAATCTCTTCCCATCGTACATTTTCCCAAGTTCTTACAACCTTGCCAGAAACGTGTTCATGCTCATCTATTGCTGATCTATAACATATTTGATTGTGCCGCTTTACGATTTTCGGCATTTGGGCCTGTGCTCAGAAACCGTGTTCATACAACAAAACATATACAGTAGACGATTGTCTTTCTTGTGTCTATCTGAATCCCTGGGTATATGAATGCCTGAATTAATGGATATCGATCTATATAATTGGCTGCCTTGTCTGCTTTTCTGCCTGCTTGTCTCTATGAGTGGGTGCCTGTCTAAATGCGTTCTTTCTTCTTTGTCTGTACGAGTGTCTGCCTGTATATGTGCCGATGTGTATGAGTGCCTGTCTGTATGAGTGCCCGCCCATGTGTGTGTCTAGGCCTCGTGTAGGGTCAACATCTCCCCGGTACCCAGTTGCCCTGTCTCGGCATAGTTTCCGATACAGCTGCTGGTGGAAGAAATGGAAATGAAACTGATGATGTGAGCGTCGTCATGAAGGCAGCTGCTGCAATCGCAGCAGTAAGAGCACCAAGGACAGCGACATAAACAATACCAGCAGCATCACAAGCAGCAGCACAAAGCACCAGCATCACAAGCAGCAGCATCACCAGCAGCACAAAGCAGCAGCAGCATCACAAGCAGCACAAAGCAGCAGCATCACAAGCAGCAGCATCACCAGCAGCATCACAAGCAGCAGCATCACAAGCAGCAGCAGTAGCAGCAGAATCACAAGCAGCAGCAGCATCACAAGCAGCAGCAGCATCACAAGCAGCAGCAGCAGCATCACAAGCAGCAGCAGCATCACAAGCAGCAGCAGCAGCATCACAAGCAGCAGCAGCAGCATCACAAGCAGCAGCAGCAGAATCACAAGCAGCAGCAGCAGCAGCATCACAAGCAGCAGCAGCAGTAGCAGCAGAATCACAAGCAGCAGCAGCAGCATCACAAGCAGCAGCAGCATCACAAGCAGCAGCAGCATCACCAGCAGCAGCATCACAAGCAGCAGCAGCAGCAGCATCACAAGCAGCAGCAGCAGCATCACAAGCAGCAGCAGCAGCAGCATCACAAGCAGCAGCAGCAGCATCACAAGCAGCAGCAGCAGCATCACAAGCAGCAGCAGCAGCATCACAAGCAGCAGCAGCAGCAGCAGCATCACAAGCAGCAGCAGCAGCATCACAAGCAGCAGCAGCAGCAGCATCACAAGCAGCAGCAGCAGCAGCATCACAAGCAGCAGCAGCATCATCACAAGCAGCAGCAGCAGCAGCATCATCACAAGCAGCAGCAGCAGCATCATCACAAGCAGCAGCAGCATCACAAGCAGCAGCAGCAGCATCACAAGCAGCAGCAGCAGCATCATCACAAGCAGCAGCAGCAGCATCACAAGCAGCAGCATCATCACAAGCAGCAGCAGCATCACAAGCAGCAGCAGCAGCATCACAAGCAGCAGCAGCAGCAGCATCACAAGCAGCAGCAGCATCATCACAAGCAGCAGCAGCATCACAAGCAGCAGCAGCAGCAGCATCACAAGCAGCATCACAAGCAGCAGCAGCATCACAAGCAGCAGCAGCATCACAAGCAGCAGCAGCATCACAAGCAGCAGCAGCATCACAAGCAGCAGCAGCATCACAAGCAGCAGCAGCATCACAAGCAGCAGCAGCATCACAAGCAGCAGCAGCATCACAAGCAGCAGCAGCATCACAAGCAGCAGCAGCATCACAAGCAGCAGCAGCATCACAAGCAGCAGCAGCATCACAAGCAGCAGCAGCATCACAAGCAGCAGCAGCATCACAAGCAGCAGCAGCATCACAAGCAGCAGCAGCATCACAAGCAGCAGCAGCATCACAAGCAGCAGCAGCATCACAAGCAGCAGCAGCATCACAAGCAGCAGCAGCATCACAAGCAGCAGCAGCATCACAAGCAGCAGCAGCATCACAAGCAGCAGCAGCATCACAAGCAGCAGCAGCATCACAAGCAGCAGCAGCATCACAAGCAGCAGCAGCATCACAAGCAATAGTCGGGGTGGAGAATGAGAAATACAATGACGATTTGGTTGTTGACGAGAAGAAGAGGTGGAGAATTCGCCTAGGGAGGATGATGGTGATGATGGCGAGTGCGAGGATAATATCCACGGTAATTGTAGAAGTGACTTAACGCTTTCGTGACTGCAGGAATTCATATTCTAGGGTCTTTCGGTAAAGTCACGTAGATAGGTTCAAAGAAAATAACGAAAACAATCGCAACACAAGCAATCTAAGACGATTGCTTGTGTTGCGATCGAAACGTCGTAGTTTTTCGTTATTTTTTTCAATTTTATTTGAAGCGCTCTCCGTGACTTTACCGAAACACCCAAAAATAACAATCGTCTCAGTGGCCGCTAGGAGGCGCCAAGTGTCGCTCGCCTCACTCGGGGCTGAGCGGGGAGGGAGGGGGCGAGACGCTGCTGCTGCCGCCGCGTCCTCCTCGCCGGTAAAGCGGCGCTGCCCGCCGCGTCCTCGTCCCCCTCGTCCCCCTCGCGCGACTCACGCCCATCGCGTCGTCCCCGTCGCGTCGTCCCCGTGTGCCCCCCACGACCCCCACCCCCCCCACCGCGCGTCTCCATTGGCCCGCGTCCTCTTGTCCGACACATCCCCGTGTCCACCCCCGTGTCCCCTATGCCCCCCGCCCCCCCCCCCGTGTCCCCACGAGCGTCATGGTAATGATGGACGAGCGGTCGCGATCCGCTAAGGTCATGTCCGCCTGGGTAGCGGTAAGAGGGTGGAGGCCTCCGAGAAACGGTGGAGATCCCGCGTAGAGCGTGAATTGAGACCCCGTGTAGAGGGGGAGGTTGTAGACCCTGTGTAGAGGGGGAGGTTGTAGACCCCGTGTAGAGGGGGAGATTGTAGACCCTGTGTAGAGGGGGAGGTGGTAGACCCTGTGTAGAGGGGGAGGTTGTAGACCCTGTGTAGAGGGGGAGGTGGTAGACCCTGTGTAGAGGGGGAGGTGGTAGACCCTGTGTAGAGGGGGAGGTGGTAGACCCTGTGTAGAGGGGGAGGTTGTAGACCCCGTGTAGAGGGGGAGGTTGTAGACCCTGTGTAGAGGGGGAGGTTGTAGACCCCGTGTAGAGGGGGAGGTTGTAGACCCTGTGTAGAGGGGGAGGTGGTAGACCCTGTGTAGAGGGGGAGGTTGTAGACCCTGTGTAGAGGGGGAGGTGGTAGACCCTGTGTAGAGGGGGAGGTGGTAGACCCTGTGTAGAGGGGGAGGTGGTAGACCCTGTGTAGAGGGGGAGGTTGTAGACCCCGTGTAGAGGGGGAGGTTGTAGACCCTGTGTAGAGGGGGAGGTTGTAGACCCCGTGTAGAGGGGGAGGTTGTAGACCCCGTGTAGAGGGGGAGGTTGTAGACCCTGTGTAGAGGGGGAGGTTGTAGACCCTGTGTAGAGGGGGAGGTTGTAGACCCTGTGTAGAGGGGGAGGTGGTAGACCCTGTGTAGAGGGGGAGGTGGTAGACCCCGTGTAGAGGGGGAGGTTGTAGACCCCGTGTAGAGGGGGAGGTTGTAGACCCTGTGTAGAGGGGGAGGTTGTAGACCCTGTGTAGAGGGGGAGGTTGTAGACGCTGTGTAGAGGGGGAGGTGGTAGACCCTGTGTAGAGGGGGAGGTGGTAGACCCTGTGTAGAGGGGGAGGTGGTAGACCCTGTGTAGAGGGGGGGGTGGTAGACCCCGTGTAGAGGGGGAGGTTGTAGACCCCGTGTAGAGGGGGAGGTTGGGGGCTGTAGAGGGGGAGGTTGGGGGCTGTAGAGGGGGAGGTTGGGGGCTGTAGAGGGGGAGGTTGGGGGCTGTAGAGGGGGAGGTTGGAGGCTGTAGAGGGGGAGGTTGTAGACCCTGTGCAGAGGGGGAGGTGGTAGACCCCGTGTAGAGGGGGAGGTTGTAGACCCCGTGTAGAGGGGGAGGTTGTAGACCCTGTGTAGAGGGGGAGGTTGGGGGCTGTAGAGGGGGAGGTTGGAGGCTCTGTGTAGATGGTAATGATCGTGATGAAGGTGATGGTGATGACAGCGCCTGTCATGGTGATGTCAGTAATTGTGACGATGGTAATGGTGATTGTAATTATCGTCGTGATGGTGACAGTGATGATGTTGATGGTGGTGATGATTAAGGCAATGGCGGTTGTGGTTTTGGTTACAGGCTTTGACGCGACTGCGTGAGAAGTTCATTGTGGGGTATCGAACCTCTCCTACCCATACTGTGGTGAGCCTGGTCATTGGTGAGTTTGGTAAGAGGTGAGTGTGTTGAATAGTGAACATGGTGAGTTTCGTGATTGATGAGCTTAGTGAGTGTGGGGAATGTGGAGGTCAGTGTGTTTTGAGTGGTGAGCCCGACTGGTAAATGAGTGGAGTGTAGAATGTTGCGTAACACTCTGGCGAGGGTGGGTGCACGTGTGATGTTAGTGGTGAGTGTAGCGAGGGTGGTGTGAGATGCGTGCGTGGGTGCTTGTGGTGAATCTGACGACCGCCGTGAGTCGTAATGTGAGCCGTGAGCACGTTGGTTGTGCGGTGAGCGGCGAGTAACGTGGGTGCATGTGCGGTGAGTGTTGAGTAGGTGAGTGCATAGTGGGTGGTGAGCGATGAGACGGGGGATACGTGGGGGGGGACGGGCTTCTGGGGGAAGCCCCGGCCGACCCCGCTGCGGCCTCCTCAAGCTGGCGTGCGCGCTGCTGGCGCTCCTCGTGGCCGTGCCGCTTGTCGCTCACTACTACCTGGCACTCTCCATGGACGCGCTGCCACTCTCCTCGCTGCGGCTGCACGCGGCGGGGCCGTGCGACGCCCTGCCCCGCCTGCCCGCTGGGCCCGACCTCCCCGCCACCGAGCTGTGCGGCCTGCACGAGGAGGCGAGTGCGCCCGCACCACGTGCCGCGACCGCCTCTCCTCTCCTCCTCTGTCCTCCTCCGCGCTGATCCCCCCTCCGCCGCTCTCCGTCCGCAGGTTAGCGAGCAGCTGGTCTCGCTGGAGGCGCGCCGGCGTGGCCTGAGCTCCGAGCTGGCACGACTGATGGCACGCATCGAGGCCTTCCGCCTGGGGGTGGAGGCCGCCCGGCAGGAGCTGGCGCAGCTGCGGCACGTCATCGCGCAGACGGAGCGCGCGTACAAGGAGCTGCTGGAGCAGGCGCAGCCGCGGCTGGCGCTCCCGGCACGCGTGACCCCCGGTCCGAGCCGGCCAGAATCGCTGGCCCCGCCGGCACACCCGTACGCCTGCCGCATGCACTCGTGCTTCGACCACTCGCGCTGCCCGCTCACGGCAGGATTCTCGGCGCACGCCTACCCGCCCGGCGACTACCCCGCGCTCTGGGCGCAGCTGGAGCCGCTGGCGCGGCACGCCTTCCGGGAGCACGCCACCAACGCGAGCGCCGACGCCCGCGCCGCCTGCGTGTTTCTGGTGCTCGTGGGGCCCCTACGCGCTGGCCTGCCTGTGCCGCCGGCCACCGATGTGGAGCGCCAGCTGCGGGCGCTGCCCCACTGGCTGGGCGACGGGAGGAACCACCTACTCGTGCACCTGTCCCTGGCCGCGGGCGACCGCTCGGCGCTGGGCATGGCCGCGGACACGGGCCGCGCGTTGCTGGCGGGGCCGTGCTCGGAGCCGCTCCGCCCTCGCCCCGGCTTTGACCTGGTGCTGCCCCCCGTGGCGCACGTCCTCGACGAGCCAGACCCGCTGGCGCTAACCCCGCACGTTCCCGCCACCCGGCGCCACTCGCTGGCTTTCCGGGGCACCGCGCCAGAGGACCGGAGTGGCCTGGCCAGCGCGCTGCGTGCCCAGTGGCCCCGAGGCCGGGACGGCGCGCTGTTGGACTTTGCCTGCGGCGGAGACGCGGAGACCGGCGGCGGCGGAGCCGACTGGGCACTGTGCGGCTCGCGGGACGAGCGCCTGATGCTCCTGCGGGTTTCCACGTTCGCGCTGGTGCCGCTCCCGGAGCCGGCGGGAGCCGGGACACTTGGCCCCGCGGCGCTCGTGCGGCTGAGCGAGGCGCTGGAGGCCGGCGCCGTGCCAGTGCTCATCGGGGGGGACGCGCCGCCGCCGCCGCTGCCCCTGGCCGACGTAATCGACTGGCGCCAGGCGACGGTGCTCGTGGCGCGGCCGCGCGCCACGGAGCTGCGGGGCCTGCTGTGCGGCGTGAGCGAGGCGGACGTGCTGGCGCTGCGCCGCCAGGGCCGCTTCCTGTGGCGAACGTACCTGGCGGGCGCGGGGGACGTGCTGCGCTCGGCGCTGGCCGCCGTGCGCACGCGTCTGCAGCTGCCCCCCCCGCCGGCGCCGGCCGCCCCTGCCCAGGAGCTCCCCCACCGCTCGGGGAAGCCACCCCTCCCGCCCCCGCCTCCATCGTCCGACCTCGACCAGGCTGCTGGGCCGGTGGCCGAGGGCCCCCCGTTGGAGCTGGGCGGCATGCAGGCCGAGCCCCCCTACGCCTCGCCCAGCTTCTTGCGCAACTTCACCGCGGCGCTGGCGGAGAGGGGCCGCGCGTGGAACTCCCCGCCGGGGCCCTTCCTGCTGTTCCCCTTCACCCCCTGGGACCCGCAGCTGCCCTCCGAGGCGCAGTTCCTGGGCTCGGGCGCAGGGTTTCGTCCCATCGCGGGGGGCGCGGGGGGCTCGGGCCGCGAGTTCCAGGAGGCGCTGGGCGGTAACGTGGCGAGGGAGCAATTCACGGTGCTTATGCCCACGTACGAGCGTGACGAGGTGCTGATGAGGTCACTGGAGAGGCTCAACGGCCTCCCGTACCTGCACAAGGTGATCGTGGTGTGGAACTCGCCCGGGCCCCCTGCCCCTGAGCTGCTGTGGCCCGACATCGGGGTTCCCATTCTGGTCCGTTCCCCTCTTCTGGTCTACGTGCACACACACCGGTATACGCAGTCAGTCACAGTTCACCAGCTCCATTAGGAACGTTGCCCAGCCCCAGCCTAACCACATCACCCCAGACGTAGACCCAACCCAGACCAGCTCAGTCCGGCCTAACTAGAACTCACCTCGGTTAGCACTGTCCACGTTCAGTCAAACATTGTTAATCTGTTTTAATCTTCAATAAAACGAGCACTGCCTGCGCATTTGCACGGGATATACGGTCGGGTTCGAGAGAGGGTGAGTAGAGGGGGCCGTGACGTCGGCGCGATGCACCAACCAGGGCTCCACGCTGTGGGATGTGGGGGACGTCATCGCGTGGATTTGCAGGGTGACATAAACTACCGCGCGCCAGCCAGGCAGCCAGCAAAGCTTTGTTTGTAATGCAGCAAGTTAATTCCTCCCTTGTGTTTAAGCTTATTGGGAATCCACTCGAGCTATGCACTTTTAATTCTCGATTGAAAATAATTTCTTTAGAACTTTTTGTGTTTAGTTTGTTGTCCTTCCATGGCACCTCCGATGAGCACGGTTGGCTACGTATGGTGCAAAAGAAATTTAACATTCACACATTAGTGTGATATAGATAAATACAAATGTGTAAAAATCCACATCCATTTTTTGACATGGGAAAAAAATCGACAAATAAACCTGCGCTTCCGAACCCTTCGAGTGACCACCCGTGCCTCTCCCTGCCGCCGTACCCCCCCCCCCCCCCCCCCCCACTGGCCCCCTCCACCAGGTGGTACGCACGGAGCGGAACAGCCTCAACAATCGGTTCCTCCCGTACGATGCAATCCACACAGAGGCCATCCTTTCCATCGACGACGACGCCCACCTACGGCACGATGAGATAATCTTCGGCTTCAGGTGACGCGACACGGGTCTGTCTCCCACGTACCATCTCCTATGTCTCCCACGTGCCATCTCCTGTGTCTCCCGTCTCCTGTGTCTCCCACGTGCCATCTCCTGTGTCTCCCACGTGTCATCTCCTGTGTCTCCCACGTGTCATCTCCTGTGTCTCCCACGTGCCGTGTCCTGTCTCCCCCGTCTCCTGTGTCTCCCACGTGCCGTGTCCTGTGTCTCCCGTCTCCTGTGTCTCCCACGTGCCATGTCCTGTGTCTCCCATCTTCCGTGTCTCCCACGTGCCGTGTCCTGTGTCTCCCACGTGTCATCTCCTGTGTCTCCCACGTGCCATCTCCTGTGTCTCCCACGTGCCATCTCCTGTCTCCCATGTGCCGTGTCCTGTGTCTCCCACGTGCCATCTCCTGTGTCTCCCACGTGACATGTCCTGTGTCTCCCGTCTCCTGTGTCTCCCACGTGCCATCTCCTGTCTCCTGTGTCTCCCATGTGCCGTGTCCTGTGTCTCCCGTCTCCTGTGTCTCCCACGTGCCGTGTCCTGTGTCTCCCGTCTCCTGTGTCTCCCACGTGCCATCTCCTGTCTCCCACGTGCCGTGTCCTGGGTCTCCCGTCTCCTGTGTCTCCCACGTGCCGTGTCCTGTGTCTCCCGTCTCCTGTGTCTCCCACGTGCCGTGTCCTGTGTCTCCCATCTCCTGTGTCTCCCACGTGCCGTGTCCTGTGTCTCCCACGTGTCATCTCCTGTCTCCCACGTGCCATCTCCTGTCTCCCACGTGTCATCTCCTGTGTCTCCCATGTGACGTGTCCTGTGTCTCCCACGTACCATCTCCCGTGTCTCCCACGTGCCGTGTCCCGTGTCTCCCACGTACCATCTCCTGTGTCTCCCACGTGCCGTCTCCTGTCTCCCACGTGTCATCTCCTGTGTCTCCCACGTGTCATCTCCTGTGTCTCCCACGTGCCATCTCCTGTGTCTCCCACGTGCCGTGTCCTGTGTCTCCCACGTGCCGTGTCCTGTGTCTCCCACGTGCCGTGTCCTGTGTCTCCCACGTGCCATCTCCTGTGTCTCCCACGTGTCATCTCCTGTGTCTCCCACGTGCCATCTCCTGTGTCTCCCACGTGCCATCTCCTGTGTCTCCCACGTGTCATCTCCTGTCTCTCCCACGTGCCGTGTCCTGTGTCTCCCACGTGTCATCTCCCGTGTCTCCCACGTGCCGTGTCCTGTGTCTCCCACGTGCCATCTCCTGTGTCTCCCACGTGCCATCTCCTGTGTCTCCCACGTGTCATCTCCTGTCTCTCCCACGTGCCGTGTCCTGTGTCTCCCACGTGCCATCTCCTGTGTCTCCCACGTGTCATCTCCCGTGTCTCCCACGTGCCGTGTCCTGTGTCTCCCACGTGCCGTGTCCTGTGTCTCCCACGTGTCATCTCCCGTGTCTCCCACGTGCCGTGTCCTGTGTCTCCCACGTGCCATCTCCTGTCTCCCACGTGCCATGTCCCGTGTCTCCCACGTACCATCTCCCGTATCTCCCACGTGCCGTGTCCCGTGTCTCCCACGTACCATCTCCTGTATCTCCCACGTGCCGTGTCCCGTGTCTCCCACGTACCATCTCCTGTGTCTCCCACGTGCTGTCTCCTGTGTCTCCCACGTGTCATCTCCTGTGTCTCCCACGTGTCATCTCCTGTGTCTCCCACGTGCCATCTCCTGTGTCTCCCACGTGTCATCTCCTGTGTCTCCCACGTGTCATCTCCTGTGTCTCCCACGTGCCGTGTCCTGTGTCTCCCACGTGCCGTGTCCTGTCTCCCACGTGTCATCTCCCGTGTCTCCCACGTGCCGTGTCCTGTGTCTCCCATGTGCCATCTCCTGTCTCCCACGTGCCGTGTCCCGTGTCTCCCACGTACCATCTCCCGTATCTCCCACGTGCCATGTCCCGTGTCTCCCACGTACCATCTCCCGTATCTCCCACGTGCCGTGTCCCGTGTCTCCCACGTACCATCTCCCGTGTCTCCCACGTGCCGTGTCCCGTGTCTCCCACGTGCCGTGTCCTGTGTCTCCCATCTCCTATGTCTCCCACGTGTCATCTCCTGTGTCTCCCACGTGCCATCTCCTGTATCTCCCACGTGCCGTCTCCTGTGTCTCCCATGTGACGTGTCCTGTGTCTCCCACGTGCCATCTCCCGTGTCTCCCACGTGCCGTGTCCTGTGTCTCCCATCTCCTGTGTCTCCCACGTGCCATCTCCTGTGTCTCCCATGTGCCGTGTCCCGTGTCTTTGTCCCGTATGTCCCAAAGTGAGCGGGTGTCATCTGTGTGCCACGTGCTGCGCCCATGCTCGTGCAGGGTTTGGCGCGAGGCCCGGGATCGCATCGTGGGGTTTCCTGGGCGCTACCACGCGTGGGACGCACAGCACGGCTCGTGGCTCTACAACTCCAACTACTCCTGCGAGCTCTCCATGGTGCTCACTGGCGCCGCGTTCTTCCACAAGGTGTGCCGAGTCGGGTTGGAGGGGTTTGTCACAGGGTGATGACAATAATGTAAATGTACGTAGTCATTTATGCTAATTGCTTCTCAAAACGCTGTTATTCTCTAGTTTGGCACACACGAAGTGGAAATGCAGCCAAAACCAGTGCCAACAATTGCTCAAGCTCTGTGGTCCTATATTGAGATGCTAAATGGGTGTCAGGACCATCAGGAGGAAACCCGAAGGCCCCAGAGGAAACCTGCGTTTGCATGCGGAGTATCACTCAATCCCCATACAAATGACATTGTATCCACTTGCTGTAACCTCCAATTCGCACGGTTGGCTACATACGGTGCAAAGAAGTTCAACATACTGTACATACATACAACTGGGGTACCCTGGCGAGCCAGGAGATGGCGTCCACGGGTAGGGAGTTTCATGAGTCTGTGTCACTATGTGTGATCCACCACCCCGTGCTGCTTCCACAATGCTGGGTTGCAGGCCACGTGCAATGATCCCGTGTGATTGCACAATCACAACCGTGGTGCATTGGTGCCAGCTGCATGTGTGAGCGCAATGACACCAGTGGCGATCTGAACTAGTCCTGGGCCTCCTCTAGGTCAACTCAGCCTTAAATTAAGTCCTGGTGTGGTGTGTAAAATCATCGGCACTGGGAAGACAAAGGCAACCGAGCATGGTGCTGGCCACCCACCTCTTCATGTTCCGTGGAAGCCTTCATAGGTGCACGCTAATAGCACTTGCCCCAAGAGTCTGTTCAAGACTATACGGGGCATCTTTGTCTTTGTCTCCCGGACAGTACTATGCCTACCTCTACACGCTGGTGATGCCGCAGGCGATTCGCGACCTCGTGGATGAGTTCACCAACTGCGAGGACATCGCAATGAATTTCCTCGTGTCGCACATCACGCAGAAGCCGCCGATCAAGGTGTGGACGAAGCACCGTGCCACTCAGGGGCTCCGCTCGCGGCCACAGTGGAGGCATCATCCTGTCAGGGTTTCTTTTCCAGTTGTTTATTTTATCATAGAGGATATTGGAGACTATCGCTCCACGCCAATGGGACGGTGAACTCTGTGCAGCCGTTTCTGGCTCTCACCGAGAATTCTGAGGTTCAACTTAGATGAAATCAACAAAAGCAGAGGCATTGTCCACGTGCACTCGTGCTGAGATGGACCGTGATGTGGGCTGCGTCCATATCCACCCACTGGACGCGTTGCCCATTGTGTCCATCCTTTCAAAATGTCCACCCCTCGCGCGTGTCCACCCCCCGTGCTTGTCCACCCCAGGTGACGTCGCGCTGGACGTTCCGCTGCCCTAGCTGCCCTCAGGCGTTGTCCCAGGACGAGTCTCACTTTGTGGAGCGCCACCGCTGCATGGCGTTCCTCGTGCGCGTCTACGGCTACATGCCGCTGCTGCACACGCAGCACCGTGCCGACTCTGTGCTGTTCAAGACGCGGCTGCCGCACGATAAAACCAAGTGCTTCAAGTTCATCTGAGCCACCCGAACCACCGCGTCCCCAGCCAGCTGTTTGGCCAAAGGGGGCTAACCGGGCGCGGCACGAGCCGGAGAACGGAAGGATGTGCAACCAATTCGACTTGCCGATGACTGGTACCAGCGGCGCCTCTATGGAGGAGGAGGCTCGTGAAGGACGCGACTGCGCGGTTGGAGGCAGTCACCCTCCTACCATAGAGGGTGGAGGAGCAATGCTTACCACAACGAGGGGAGGGATGGGTGGCTAAGACGCAGCGAGTTGGCACAGTCGGGAGCGCAGGTGGTGCATCTTTCAGTCACCTCAGTCATCTCAGTCATCTCTGTCAACCCATGGCCCCTGGGTCTGTCCCATAACCCCCGATCAGCAAGATTTCTACATTACGCATAGCCGAAAAGTGCACCGAGCCCGGTGCAAGCACTGTTGTAAAATCACCACCACTCCGTGGTGTTTGACATTTTTAGTTGGTCGGTATCGCGAATGCCCTGGTGGTGTTGGCGAGCGTGCCGGCACTGCGGCAGGCAAGGGGTGAGCGTCACTGCTCCGTTGAAGAAACTACGGGTGTGAAAAAGATGAAATTTTCCCAGAAAAGGGAGAGCTCAAACAATTATCGAACAGATAATGCACCGGCATTCGAAGATACAGCAACAGGGTGGAGCTGTGGAGGTCTTGCTGGAGTGACGCTATGGAGATCCCAGCGTGGAGCTGTGCGGACGTTCTGCTGGAATATCTACTCGGTACGTATGTAGTAATTCACTTCCATACATCGTCCTCGTATCTTTTTGAGTTCATAACTGAAGCGAATTTCACCATTTTGAGTCTTGCTCGTAAAAAGGGCCCCTGCCAGACATGCCGCCACCGTATTTCCCCGCGAGGGCTGCGTGAGCACCGAGGGCGTTGCGAGTGCTGCTATACTCAACTTAATTGGAAACAATAAAAACGCTCTTTGGCAACTTCGTTCAAACACAGCTCATTGCTTAAGTAATTTTATTTATTTTACACCTCATGCAAATTCGAATTGCACATCGTTTCAGTTTCAAAGTGGAAAACATGTTCATACTTTTGTTTACCTAAATTATTCAATTGAACATTGGCCATGACCAATCCACTACGAGATGGCCTCCCCAGCCAACACCACCTTGCAATGAAATAATGCAACTCGCAACTGCTTAAGAGCTGACGGTCACTCCACTCAGGGGCGTTTAAACCCCTAGCTGCCACTCCACTCTCAGCCATCGTCCCCCCCCCCCACCTCAGGATGTGCCTTGGCCAAGCCCACGTTTCGCAAATCAACGTCGCGAACCTGCGTACGTTCTGAAATCCACATCTCTCCATGCTTTGCACTCGTTCCGTTTTCTATATCAATGTTGTTTCTGATCGGGAATTGGAACTTTATTAAAATATCTAATGATTGCGTAAATGTCGTTAAACCCACCACCACCCGACACAGCCCCAATTAGTAAGGTTAATCACATAATTCACAAATCTGGCTGTTGCCTGATGAAGCTAGTTGTAACTCAGTTTGTAAATGTTGTGGCTTGGCTCTCCAACACACCGCTGTGCTGTCCTCAGAATGAATTGGCAAGTTCTGTTCACGTGACAAACCTTACGAATTGGCTGTCGGGTGGTGGCAGGTTTAACAACACTTATATACGTAACGCGATCTAACCCAAAAAACCTGTATTATGGATATTGGTCGCGGACGCCGACGTGTTAAACTGATCTAATGAAATATTCGCAAAAAGTTTAGTCCTTTTGGGAAAATGTCCACGAGATATTTTAGTTCCTTTCACTCCATCGGCCCCCGAGCGGATGGGACTTTTTGACTCGGCTCTGATCAGATAACTCATAGCCACTCCTCAGCCCTAATACATTTTTGGGTTTAACCAAAGCCAATCAGTTACGAACTAAAATTTTGTACACCTATTTGTACACCATTTGTCTTAAATTGAGGTCATAACTTGGGTTCATATTCAAATGGTGCCAAAAATGTTGAGACTTTCACATATTGTCCTGTGACCCATACCGCGCAGTCTCACATTCTCTCGCCTCGTGGGACAAGCTCGTCCGGAGGAGGCTTGACGGCGGACAAGGGGGCAACAGCCCGTTGCCCGCATCCACGAGCCAAAGAAGCCCAAATGGATGACGCAGTGATGGAGTTTCTTGGAACCACTGCCACTTGCTAGTACTAGAGGCCTCAACACAGCCTGCCTGAGACCAACCTTACCCCGAGGGGGCTAGCGCTCCCATTAGGCAACCAGTCTGATAGCCCCCATCTTTCTCCTTGGAGCTCAACTCAATTCAGCAAAAAAGCAGGACACAGCAGCACGCGAGGATCGTATTTGGGGACAATTTATTACAACAAACTGGAAGCGTTGCACTTGAACAAACTGTTTATTAAAACTGAACCCAAATACAGAAACAAGGGCCAAACGAAGCCAGAGGCTCCATTGCCTGGTGAGCTTTTCCCCAGCCGAGAGATGTAGATCATTGCAGTTGAGAAAGCGTACAGAGTACAAAACAAGGGACAAAATAATTACTTCAAGGGCAACCACTGGGTCACGGGAAACTTGTTCCGCTGCTAGCAGCGTGTAGCTGCCAGCGTCGGGGCGGGCACCAACGTGGAGGGGCTTGGGGTGGCTGTGGTGAAGACGGCTACTGGCTTCTGCAGACAAAGTGTGCAAAGTCAGCGGCGGTTATTGTCTGGGGGTGCCCATTCCAAACGACAGAATAGGCGGCGCGCACGCATCGCAAGCCCAGTGCCCTCAGCCACGCCTTACCTGTGGCTGGAGTCGCCTACATGGCCCCGGCAGCTGCCTTCTGAGCAGCCTCCTTGGCCTGGTGAGCCTGCAGCACGGCCACAGCCTCCTCCACCTGTGCAGCGCACAAGACACCACGCGGCTCATTAACACGACGCCCTCATTCTACACTCGTACGGGAGGCGGCACTGTGCGGGAGGTCGCACTCGCCTTGGCACGCAGCGATTCTGGGGACTCGAGCATGTGCAGCAACTCCGAGTTGTCGATCTCCAGCAACATGCCCGTGATCTTGCCGGCCAGGGTTGGGTACATGCCATGGATCAGTGGGAAGAGACGTTCACCTGCACACGTGTGCACACGCGCACGCACGTTTACGCTTTCGCATCCGCAACGGCCCGGCTCGCGTGGCACCGACAACACCGCGGCACATCAGGAGTAACGCATAGCAGGGTGCGGCGATCTGGACGATGACTCACCCAGCATCTGCTTCTGCTCGTGTGGTGGAGCAGCGGCCAGCATGGAGGCAGTGAGCGGCTCTTGGCCCTGGATGTGCACGGCTGACTGAGGGGCCTGGGACACACGACACGCCGTGTCAATCGTCACACGCGACACACATGCCACAGCGCATGTACTGCATGCCGAGCATACAAGCCACACACATCACAAACAGCATTACACAAACACAACATGCAGTATACACGCCATATCTCAACACCGCAAATCATATCACGTTATATAATGCACCCGATTGTGATCAAGGAGCGCACGAGGACACACGAGGCAGCTCGGACACAGCCGTTACCTGCTGCATGGCGCCAGGGCCCTGCACCCCGGGCTGCTGCGGGTTCCGCACGCTGCCCGTGTACTTGTAGCCCGGCAGAGCACGTGGCCCGGCCGCCTGGGTCGGGAATGTGGGGCGCGGCATCATGCCCTGTGACGCTGCACACACGACAGAGCAGGGCGCGGACGGCAGTTCGTGAGACGGGTGACATTAACTTTGGTTCTGTGGCATTGTAAATGACTGCGATGCGTTGTACACGGAGGGATCTGCACTCGCGTTCACGAGACATTAAAGTGAAACCCCGAGTGAGACTGCTGCGTCGTGATTCTGTGCCGGAGATGTAGGCGGGTGGATCGCGGAGAAAGTGTGGGTGGTGCAGTGTGGCGAGGGCAGCATACCCCGTGGAACCTGGGGAACGCTCGCTGGGTTCACCGTGCGCATTTGTGTGGGTCGTGGCGCTGGTTGCCTCATGGGACCGGTAATCGCCTGGAAGCCTACGGGGACCACGCACGCGCACTCGTTAAAACATCGCTCGGCAATAGCGCTCGCTCGCTCGCTCCTACCATCGCGCGACAGACATCCGACCCCCCTGCACCCCGACCGCTCACCTGCTGCGTGCGCTCCTTGTGGCCGCACCTGCAGGGGCCAACGGGGGTTGGGCCGCATGGGCGCCATCTGGCTTGGTGTGTAGTACGCCGTGCGGCCTTGGGCCTGCTGGGACACGGGACACGATCGGTCAGGCCCACGGGTCCATCCTCGACGCACCCTTCCGCCATCGCCATGAATCCCAAGTGCGGCGCCCAGGCCCTCACCTGTGGCATGGCCGCCATGAAGTATCCGGATGCCGCGGCCGGCTGGTACTGTCCGATGATGGCGCTGGGCGGCACGGCACGCATGCCGGCCAAGCGCTGCATGAACTGCGATGTCAGGTGCATCTTGCGCTCCTCCTTGCGCTGTGCCAGCGCCACATACAGTGGCTTGGAGCCGATGATGCGGCCGTTCATCTCCGTCACAGCCTTCGTGGCCTCCTCAGGCGACGAGAAGCACACAAAGCCAAAGCCCCGACTGCGGCCCTCCTCCATCATTACCTGCAGCACACGCAGTGGGCGATCAGCGCCGATCACGGCAAAGAAACTTGGAAGGCGATCACAACAAACCCCTTCGCAGCAGCACGATTGCTCAAGGAAGAGGCGCACTCACCTTGGCGCTGGTAATTGTGCCGAAGGGGGAGAATTCCTTCCACAGACGCTCGTCGTTGATGTTGTCATCGAGGTTCTTCACGTACAAGTTCACTCCCTGCACAGAGGCGACTGCAGTGTCAATCAGACATCCCCAGAAGGTGATGCACCACAGCACACGAAACATTCCATCTGCACACGAGGGGGACGACCCGGGGGAGACGAGCTCCAGCCTCAGGAGACCGTCACCAACACCTTGCGCTCGGAGCCCCGTGTCTCTGCACCCTTAAACCGACACGCAGGTGCAAACAAGTTTGTGTGCTGGGACGTCCCTGTCCTTTCTCCAGAAACATTATTTACGTAAATCATTAATTATGTTAGGCTTCCATTGACATATCCGTGATTAAGCAGTTACCCAGCTGTTGTTTGCGTTTACGTTTGTTTGTGACGTGCAGTGTTTTGTGATGTGTGTATAGTCTCTGTGTATTGTTTTCATTGTCGAGTCTCTGTGCCGTCTCTGTGGCGCTCCAGCACCTGGTATTTGCTCATGCGCTCCTGCTTGAGCATCTCAAACTTGCGTTTCAGCTCAGTCTGCCGCTCCGCCTTCTTCTGCGCGCGCCCCACATAGATGGCGCGACCATTCAACTCTTTGGTGTTCATCTCGTCCACCGCCTGCGCACGCACACAGGGGAACCATGAACCCACTGCTGCAGTCACAACAGACGACTGACCCAAGCCACACCATAAAGACAGCAGCCCCACCAAGCGCAGAGTTAACTGTACACGCGTAACCATGTGTTCAGCACGCACAGAGTTAACAGCATGGAGACACGTCCCTGGGCGTACACAGCCTGTTTGTACACGTGTGGCAGTGTGGGATGACGCACATGGTTCGATGTGTACACATGGTTGTGTTATGAAGCACAGGGTCCATTCAGTACGTGCACACGATTGTGGATGTACAGGTAGTCCCCGAGTTACGATGGTCCGACTTACGATATTTCGATCTTACGATGGCGATAAGACAAAATTGCCATCAACAACCAAACATCGGTCAAGTGTGCAGACGACGGACAGAATATTGGCGAGTACAGTACAATATGATACGTTACGATGCGTTCAATGCATGTATGATACGTAGCTTTAGCGATTTCATTTTAAGGTTACCACGATACGATACGTTCAATGCATGTTAAAAGTTTGTTTATAACAGATAGGATTGTTTCCTGAAAAAACTTTCTATAAAAATTCCAGTTCATATAGGTAAGGCTAAGAATTTACCTTGTTTTTTCTAATTCTAGATTTGAAGCTTTCGTGACTGCAAGGATTCATACTCTTAGGTTTTTTCGGTAAAGTCACATAGGTAAAAAATAAAATGAAAAGTTAATAAAAGTATTGTACATTTTACTGTACAATACAGTATTGTAATTAATTCATACAGTATATAGCTTATAAAGTACTGTACTGTAAATTGCTCTGTTTTGCTAAATTATCACCATTCTTTAAGACTCATGGGTAGGCTAGGCCATCTTCTACTTACGATATTTTCGACTTACGATGGGGTCGTTGTAACGCATCTCCATCGTAAGTAGAGGACTACCTGTATATGCCTGGCGGTGTGTGATGATGTACAATGTTTGGTGTGTACACACATGATTGTGTACACGCATGTCAGTGTGTGATGACACACATGGTTCATGTTTTATTATGACCCATGGTTGCATGTGGGTGTGGTAATAATGACGCGAGACGCCCGGGGCTATGCTTGGTCCATGCTGTGCGCACAAGGACCGTGCACAGTGGATAAGTGGCCCGATGCCAGGCCAGCATGCAGGGATGGGTTGGGTTCAGGAAGGGGTGGGCACCTTCTGTGCGTCTTCGTGTCGCTCGAAACTCACGAACCCAAAGCCCTTGGACTTTCCACCTTCGTCCATCATCACCTTTACACTCAGGGTCTTCCCAACTGCAAACGGAGTCACGGACAGAAATATACATCAGCCTTGCCTCTACCAACTCAATCTCACATACAGCCCATCAATGCCAAATAACATCATCTCAACAGCCTTCCTTAAGAAGGTTCCCCCAATACCCCCAGTTCCTCATTGCGGAGTTCTGGAGGACACGACCCAAGCTACCGCATGCTCCTGACAATCGCGTACCGTACTGCTCGAAGTACTCGCGTAGTCGCTCATCGTCCATGTCATCCCCGAAGTTCTTGATGTAGACGTTAGTGAACTCGCGTGCTTTCGCTCCAAACTCTGCCTCTCGCTCCTTTCGCGACTTGAACCGCCCCACAAACCTGCAGCACAAAGCAGCCGCAAGGCTCCACTCAGCACACATACACGTGCATGTCCGCTGCTATACTAGGATCGTGTAGGGGGTCTGCGCCGCCTGCGCCGTGTGCCGGCACTCACACTTTTCGATCGTTGAGAAGCATGCCGTTCATCTTCTCAATGGCCTTGTCCGCCGCCTC